ACTATTCGAAGTCGTTGGTAAGAGTATCACTTGCCATATATGCCTGCTAGCGGTACCTACCTTCACTGTATACGCAAAACACACCGATGAAGTACGCACTTCACCATCAGCATTGAGACGACTCAAGTGCATCATACGCGTCTCTAGATTTGAAGTGTCCGTGAAACTCGGTCGATTTTTTACAATGATCGAAGCCTCATTTCCCAATAGCTACTTAAAAGCTGCGCCGCTCGTTTCTGCTCGAGCTGCTCAAGTAATAAAGTCTCATCGGGTCTGAGATATTGACGCTTGCTTGTGAGGAAGCTTACTTCGCCTGTGAGGGAGCCGTTAATTTCACGCCCGGAAAATTTCGGGTTTGAAAAATTGTTAATTTTTTCCCCGGGTGCTTGGCTGGAACGGATCGGGAGTTGACTAAAGGTGGAGAGAAAGGATGAGGGATTTGATGAGGTTGAGAGGATAATGAGCCATGCATAAGGATGAATAAGGACGGATATTTAAAAAGGATGTGCTGGAATACATAATGAATTGTGGATAGACTCATTATATTAGTTTTGAGGAATGTACTGTAGTGTTGGTATAATGTACATTGAAGAATACTTCGAAAGGCATGATGGCGTATGCAGACAAGAATATAAGGGAGAGGGAGAATAAAAAGGAAGTAGATGTTGGGAACAGAGGGGAAAGACATGAAAAGATGCAAGAAAGTTACGATTAAGCAGAGCGAAGGAACACAAAAATGCGTGGATAAATAGCGGCAACATTTCTGTACCGGGGAATCGTTTGCGCTCACTTCAGGAGGATATTTTGTTCGATTAAATTAGATTGGATGGAGAAGTATTTTAAGTGGGAGTGTTTACGACGTGAAGGTAGTTGTGAAGGCGCCGAGTTCCTGGCATGGAAGGAGCCTAGGTATTACAGGGAAGCTCTGAAGGACTCGCTCTCGTGTCCTGAATTGAGGTAATGCGAAGTCAATGGAGCTGGCGCAGCTGTGGCAAACACGCTTAATGAACAGTCGATATTCGCGCCGCCACCGCGACGATATTGCGGATGAACTCACGTGCTACCGTTGAATAAATCACTTGTTCAACGGGTGTACACTAGCTCCATGCTATCGCTCAAACTTTTGTCGTTGTTGAATTAATATGCCTGCTAAATGACGGCTGCTGCGTGATGTTAGTCACGCATGTCCTCTCAGCTGCGTGACGCTAATCAAGCCTGCACTCCTCTAAGCTTTAGTGTCGCAGTCTGTCCGAACGCTCAGAGACGCACAGCTGTTTACGTATCGTGTGCCGCGGCTTAGCCTCAAGCCCCAGCCCATCTCTATATAGCCATTACCACGCAAACTTTTGGTGTAGTGTTTACGACCTCAGCCACCACCACTGCGCTAACCTTGCCAGATCTCTGTGGCAGTTGAGCATACGACGGCATCATGGTGCTTGATTCTATTGGGCGCTTTTGCTACTTTTTTGCTTATCTATAAAGCTAATTTCTGATCTTGAATTTCGTCATTAATTCTTATCTCATCGCTCATTGGTTGTTTCAAGTGTGATCGAGACCAAGACCCTGCTGAGATTAAAAATTCGGAGTAGATATCATTAGAGTATTCGTTGATTATTATGATTTTGAGTTAATTTGATTACCATCAATTTAAATTTTTTTCTATATTCGCAAGGACTCAAAAATGTTTTCGCTCATATTTCGTTATTGATACCTACAATTCTACATCAATATAATTGTTGACATAAAATATTTTATTTCCACCATTTCGGTCTCTTCGTGGTCCGTCCCATATGCTTTAGTTGGCCTGTTTTTTCCCTCGCTGCAAGCACCTATTTCCCTGCTTCCGTGCCTCCTTATCTCGCGTCCCATCTTTATCGCTGGTGACAGCGCCATGGGGGCGGCACACTAGTGACGCTTTTCATGCTACACGTCGCCATGTTGTCACACGCTTCACAAGTTTCAACGTATCAAAAGAACCGTGCCAACACGTTTTAATTGAGATGCCTATGTTTATGGCTTTTTAGCGCATTTTCTTATTTATGTAAAAAATGCACTATTGTGCTCGCCATGTCCGTCTGTCTGTCCGTTACTTCACGTTTTCGTCAACGAGAAAATGCGCTCTCTGTCACTCACTGCAGTGAGTACTGAGTTATATCTTTGTAATTTAACTTTAATTGCTAAGATATTGAGTTAATTCTAATAGGATGATATGTATTAAAGTTCACTTCAACTTGATGGCATTTCAATTTTTTCCAAGTCTTGATTGTTGATTTTCTCAATTTACTTGCTATGTTAGAAGCACCATCGGCAAGCGACATCAATCATGGCGGAGTCCCAGTCTGTCGTCTGCCAAAGCAAACTCTCGAATTTAATGGAATATAGAACGCTGCTCAAAATCCGATCTCGATCAACGGAAAGACGCTCGCTTTTCTTCGAATTTTGTTGCCGCAACATTTATGCCCACTAAAATGTGTCCAAATCTCGATATTTTCTGTTCAGAAACCGACATGAGAGCGGCACACGATGGAAAATGCTCCGTGATTTGGAGCTTGAGAATCGCTTTATGATAATTATTTTTGTGATACAAATTGCTTGTGCTTCAAAGGTTCATCGCCGAGCAAAATATAGTATTTAATATGAGAAACATGAGCTAATATTTGACTAAAAATATTGGATTGCGCATGAAATGACGTGAACTCCTGCGTTATATATTATGTATTGCAGGAGAAAAGTTCTTTGTCAATTGTTCGTTCAGTTAATGCTGAACCATGTTGAAACTGATGAATTGTTATCACTTTATTGATTACTGCATGAATCCTGCTGCTGCTTGCCCCCTATCATAGCAAACAACGCTTCGTATTCATGTTCACATCAAGTTTTACTCTCTAATCTAATTTGTTTACACCATTGTTTTGCACTAAAATTTGGAAAGCATTTCCTCCAAAACTCTTGAGGTCTCGAGAGGTTTCACGTTTCTTATAATGGATGGCAGCGCTGCTTCCATCATCGAGCGTCATGCTTATTACAGCTCGGTAGCTCTTCGGTGTCTGGTAACAGAAACGCGTCCGCGGTCAAGGCACCGTGTTAGACTCTTTGTAATGCTATCCATTGCAATTACTAGTGCTACACTTGGAGAAATGAGGGAGACTTTGTCTCAGTATAAATTAGTTAGACTTTGTAGCTAATGTGCATACCAGTGCTATACGTGCAGAAAGTGTGGCGCTATTTGTTCAATATGACCTAGTCGTTTTTGTGAGTGGCATGTGCCTTCGCAGTCAAATGAATAGTCACCAACAACAAAAAACTTGATTAAAAAACTTGATTGCTTTGTATTTAATTACCATTTGGCGTGAGGACGAGAGATGTCATCCGGAATTATTATTCCATTATTGCATCTTGCATTTAGTCTTTAGTCTTTTAAAGATCAGGTTGTTAGTGCAAAGTTCTTGAAAAAAAATTAGCTACCTCAGGAAAGTTTCAATACACGCTTTTAACGACATAACACCATCCGAAGCTTATAATTTGAATTTTCTGTGTTGGAGTTGGTAAGAAGGAGGACTTACATTGTAGCTTCAAAATTGGAAATTCAATTTGTCCGAATGAATTGCATGTCTCGGGATGGAAGGCTTATCCCCACCGCAGAAGTTAGCCTCAAATGAGACTCAGTAGCTTGGATTGGGGGTTGGATTGAGAGGAACCTCAACCCCGAGGGACTGGGCGTGACGAGCTCCGATGAACTCGAAGAGCTTTTGATTGCCCAGTTACTGCCTCTATAGAGTCGCTATATATGGTCTCATCAAAGGAGGTTTGCTGCACGCCACGGTATTCAGTACCGAAGCGATAATTACCGTCCTAAGGAAGTACGTAGCTATTCTTGGTATAGTATTTCACTCTTTAAATTCGAAAAACCAAGAGATTTAATGACGCTTAACGTTACTTTCTGATAGAAAAATACCGTTTTAGTTGGCAGAGAAGGAAGTTATAACCGCCTTTATATTATTGGTAGTATGCAATTCACCACGTGAGCAGCAATTTAAACTTCGCGGCCTATACAAAGCTAATCAGTAAAACGAAGTCAAACTGTCCTGTTTAGAGCTCATCAAGCGACAGTTGACGTATACAGCGACTGCTCGTCTCGTCTTGTTCCTATATATATCTTCGTATATAACTGCTATACCCATAAATGATATACGGTACTCGTGTCCTGAGTAACTAAGTACTTACTCAATTTTTGGATAGTTTCCAAGTGAATAGAAACTTAATTAAAAATAAATAAATATATAAAATATTATTTATATTTTAAAAATTTATTATTATATTTATATAATGTTGGTTATTTAATTTGGCTATAATGTTATAAAGCTACAAAAAGGTTACAATGGTGCAAAATACGTAACAGAGTAAAAAAGTGCGCGATAGTGACGCCCGTGCTGCTCTGACAGCGTCCTGTGCTGTTGGCTGCGATCGTGATGCTAAAATCTAAGTCATGGCGCAGTGTTTGACGTGGTGAGTGGCAGTTAGACGGCATCGAGTGCAGTCCTGCAGTGTTTGACGTGGTGAGTGGCAGTTAGACTGCATCGAGTGCAGTCCTGCCTTTGATTTATTAGGTGATTCAGTTCTCGCTCGTTTGTACTGTCAACACGAACCCTCGCTCAGCTAACGCTCGCCCTGCTCGCGAGCTACCGACTGGTGGCAGGTTTTTCTCTTATTGCTCAGGCTGCTTTTACTCTTGTTCGTTCACAGAGATTTTCTACACTTATTACAAAAGTACACCTATTTTTACTGTACATTATTATATCATTTTAACTTGATACTCATTATTATATTATTTTTCGAATTGTTGATGGAGCTGGTCATCCAAACGTTTACATTGACGATATGCTGTGTTTCTTTCCGCTTAAATTTTTTGTGAACTTGTGATTTAAGTATGAGACTAATGATGTAAGTACTTGTATTATTATATATTATTAATTATATATACTATTTGTTTGTGATGACAGGGAGATGCGAAGCAACGGCCTACACACGATACAGGACGGGGCTTTCAGGACGCTGTCAGACCTCCGAAGACTGTGAGTGTTGCGTTGCTTTTATGTTGAAAAATGATCCTCTCAGGTCTGTGTGAGAAATTTTGTAATGATTATAGATAGATTTCATAATTTGAGTTATGATTTCATAATTTAAATAGTAGATATAGTATGTACGGTACTCTGTAAAGTAATTGTATATGAGATTATTTTAGCGAGGTATTATAGGTTATAATTTTTACTTAGGTTATAATTTGACTGTAATGGAATTTGTAATTTTAGGTTATAATTCAAGTACTCATTTACTGTAGCCAAACTGAACATGATAAATAATCGTGTTTATGAGTGCATTTGTCGCTGCTCAATTCAGGCACTGATTTATTCTCGCTATTTGTTTGATGATATTCTAAATCTAGAGGCGTAATTTGTTCTTTTCTTCTTGTTCAAGCGCTGTTGCTTGCAATTCCTTGCGTTCACTTGGCGATGTCAAAGCTCCAGATTGTCACTGAAGCCCAAATCACTGCACCATTTTATTCAATGTCAAAGCTTATTTCGAGAAGTTGATTAGATTCTCTGTGGTAATTACGCCTGGTCAGATAAAAGGCTCGTGGAGCTTTGTGCGCGCTGCTGCAATATGCGGCAGCTGTGACAACCCAGGCGTGTAGTTCAGTCTACGGTGAATGTGCTTCAAGTTTCACTTAATCCTGGCGTATGGCTTAATTATTCTGCACGAGCTTTCATTTACTCCTGGCTGTGTTTTTTTCATACATGCGCTGCATTTGTATGTCCTTATGTTGGTATTCCTAAATCAAATTTTGGGATGCACGCGCCTTTTTCGTCGTCACATCTGTGTTAGTTTTCGCGAATTCTGTGCTTATATACTTACGATCAGGTATTAATAAAAATAGTTTTTTTTTATTTTGCCGATAATATCTATTATTGCCGATGGTTTCTGTCATGTTGCCGATGATTTCTGTTATTTTGCCTGTGATTTCTGTTATTTTACCAATGATTTCTGTTATATTGCCGATTAAATCTGTTATTATGCCGATGATTAGCCTAAATGATTAAGTTATTCGTGTCGGCAGAGACTTGAGTAGCAACAACCTCACCGTCCTCACCGGCAGTCAGCTGGCAGGTCTCCACAATCTCAAACGAATGTGAGTTTCCCTTCATAACAAATATATTTTCACGAAATATAGAGCAGAATAAATGCACGGATAATTTAATGGGTGCCTACAACAACTGCCAAATAAACTGATATTCATTTGACTTGTTCTCCCCTAAATGCTTCATGGCTGCATTGTGATATTGTGCTATATGGATCAGCGAGGCAACAATTTATTATCATGTACTACCCACTTGCCTCTCATTCTCGATAAATTGTTAATTTAAAACAAACTATTTCTAGTAATTGTGCATTTTTCCGTATTTTATATTCACATACTACAAAAAATCTTGACGGAATTAACGATTCTGAGGTAAATATTCCTCAAGTTCTCTATAAATAAATTAGATATTAATGTTATATTTCCATCCTCAAAGAAAACTGTCAGACAATCCGCTGCGCGTCCTCCATCCCAGCCTCGCCTCAGCCTTGCCGTCCGTCTCCTTCATGTGAGTCTGCCTTCCATTGATGGCTAGCACGGCGTAGACTGCGTGCTTAGAGTAATATACCTAATATATAATATATATTAATATAAATAAATATTAATATATAATATATATTATAAGTAATATATATATATTATTATATATATATATAATAATGTCACTCGTTTGCTTGAATTGCAAATTCACTAAAAACTTAAAGGCAAGTTGGCGAGAAAAAGCGAAAAGCAAAAAAAAAAAAAAAAAGCGACCGATAAGCGAAAAGGAAGTTGGTGTATAGTTGGACTCCGAAACATTTTCTTTAAAGATACTATGCATTTTTGTGGAGTTTTCTTTGCTTTTAAGTTTTTAGTTAGAGAACCATGTGTTGCAGTGCCGTGAACTTCATGCTTAGAGAACCATGTTTTTTTTATCCTTCCATATCAGTTCGTTCTTTTTTCATGATGTAATTTGCTCATATTTCACATGCAATTGTAAATATTTTGCATACTGCATGTCAGCCAATATCTTTCCTATTGCCATGTTGATCATTTTTACTGCAAAATGGAATTGCTGATAGCCCGTCAAATATATTGTACTCAGCAAATGCATTGAAATTTAGTGGGAAAATATCAAAGAGTAGCCAGTTGCCTATCCCTGTATTTTAACGGCCTGAGAAACTAAACTTGTAAAATCAAAATATTATTTTGCATGTTTATCATTCCTTTTATTTGATATTTAAACGCTGATGAAACGTTCCACATGACAGAGACCTGACACAGACGTCTCTGTGGTGCGACTGTTCCCTGCAATGGCTAGTGGCGGCCATCACTGGACAGGCTCTGCCCTCAGGGCTCACGTCGCCCCCACCGCCCCCGGGGGGCAGCAGCGGGGACGGCGCCCTCAGGGTGTCAAAGGGCACGACGTGTGCAGGTCCTGATCACCTCAGGGGCATCGCCGTGCGCTCCCTGTCCTTGGACGAGCTCCTCTGCGGTGAGCTGCGTGCCGTGGTGTCGTCAAGGGTCGTGCACGTGTGGGGGGATGGCTTTAGGTGCATCAAAGGATGGATGGCTTTAGGTGCATCAAAGGATGGATGGCTTTGGGTACATCAAAGGATAGATGGCTTTGGGTACATCAAAGGATGGATGGCTTTGGGTACATCAAAGGATGGATGGCTTTGGGTACATCAAAGGATGGATGGCTTTGGGTACGTCAAGGGATGGATGGCTTTGGGTACATCAAAGGATGGATGGCTTTGGTGGATGGCTTTGGGTGTATCAAAGGATGGATGGCTTTGGGTGTATCAAAGGATGGATGGCTTTGGGTGTATCAAAGGATGGATGGCTTTGGGTGTATCAAAGGATGGATGGCTTTGGGTGTTTCAAAGGATGGATGGCTTTGGGTGTTTCAAAGGATGGATGGCTTTGGATGCATCAAAGGATGGATGGCTTTGTGTGTATCAAAGGATGGATGGCTTTGGGTGCATTAAAGGATGGATGGCTTTGGGAGGATGGCTTGGGGCACATCAAAGGATAAGGTAATAAATTTACCTGAAGTGGCGGGCAATAAGTTTAGCTCGTAAAAACCTTCCACTATTTCACACTTACGGTTTATTATTGAACATAAAATCAGAATGAGTAGTTGGTGTGTTACATCGTCGCACATTGATCAGTATAAGTTCACTTGTGTTACAGAGGGCGGCGCCCCGGCAGGACCAGCAACACTGGACCTGGACCCCGGCTGGGACCAGGTGGTCTTCGCCGGCGACAGTCTCACCCTGCGCTGCTTCCTCAGCCTCCCGTACGTGCTGTGCTCACTTCAATATTTTTACTCGTTACTCGCCATTTTTTGCTCGCTGCTCGTCAACTTTTGCTCGATGATTTTTTGCTCGGTTTTTGCTAACATGTGCTCGTCATTCGCTATTTTTTGCTCGCTTCTCGTCAACTTTTGCTCGGTGATTTTTTGCTCGGTTTTTGCTAACATGTGCTCATCACTCGCTATTTCTGCTCGCTACTCGCCTTTTTCGGCTCGCTACTCAGCCACTTTACCTCACTTCTTGTTTCCATATAATTAGCTCACCATTCCTTTACTTTCACTCTTCACTCTATTATTTTCACTCGCTACTTTGCTACTTTCAATCGCTATTCCAATACTTTCATTCATTAATCCTGGTAATCCAATACTTTCATTTGTCAGTCCTATATATAATTGAATATATAAATTATTCAGCAATCGAATGCGTTTATTCATCACTCGTTCACACTGGCTCAGTTTACTCGCTTTTTCACCTCTTGCCATGATCGTAATATGCAGAACATTTATTCCACTACACGTGCCCTGCATAACCTAACTGCCATGCTTTTATTTTGTGTTGCATGTCAATGAAACATCATAACTGTCGAGAAAAAGCCATTTTTATATTGAAATTTATTGCCTACGTTTAGGCAACATTTGGCCATCAGTGAAGACTATGTGTTATAGAACTATCATTAAACTTGTGATACTATTAACCTTGTTGTATTAGCCTTATTATATAAACATTTTGATATTAACTTCGTGATATTAACTTTCTCTCCCTCTTTTCTCGCTAGTTTGAATCCGCGGCAGCTGTCAGTCGAAGATTCGTTCTCGTTGGCCACGAGAAATTCGTCACGTGAAGCCAAAATTTTTTGGTATCAGGACGATGTTCTAATCCACCCCACCTCCACACCACCATCCACCACTCCGTTATCCAGCACACCGGCCTCTCATCCGAACACAACCACTTCTTCACCATCGTCGTCTACCGGGCCTTCGTCTGACGTGGCTGAAGGTAAGGTTAACCTTCACAAATATTCCCATAATTACCTTCGCTTATCCCTGATCAACTCGCTAGGCTGGACACTTGAGACATTCCGCCCTTTACGGGTGATGAAGCATCTGAGAAATTTTTAATAAGGAGACCTTCCGGCTTACTGACGAGTTAATCCTTGGGCTTCGGCGCGAAATAACTGGACAGCTGAAGCGCTAGCAAACCATCTTACTACTACTACTCCTACTTCTACCTACCACCCCTGGTACTACTGATCAACTAGCTAAAATTCAATTCCTTTTCGTCAACGACTTCAGAGTTACTAAGAATGCCTCTGGAGTTTATGTTGAATTTACGTACTGCTGAGTTTATATAATAAGATTTTTCCTCGTTCCCGTTGAATAATGTTTGCGTTTTTGCGTGAGATATTAGCCATATAATGTAATCTACGTCAGGAGTTCGGCTGGTGACGGTGAGGCCGCAGGTCGTGCCCCAACAGGAGGCCATTTCTGCCACCCCGGGGCCTCCTGACAACTCCTCCGCAGAGGCCATCGTCGTCAGCACCCGTCACCGTCAGGACGGAGTCGAGAGGTTCATTGTTTTACTGCAATTTCTAGACGAATTTTTTAATTATAATTTCAAGTTAAAATGTTTTATGTTTCTGGATCAGCGTTTAATGATCAACCTGAGGCAGCGTTTGGGAACGTTTTCAGCTGCAGTGTTCATATGCCGCATTAACTTCAAAACATTCAATTATAACGATTTTGTAATTAAAAAGGCATACTGAAATTCTTCGAATTTTTCTTGTGCTGAATTTTCAAAAAATACATTCGTACCAAATATATATTTTACAATCAAACACTAACTTGATTGCTTCTTGATAGTTTGGTTCAAATCCGGCGGCTGGGCGCACATCACGGTGGGCAGTGGGCATGTCGAGTCGAAACCTCCGAGGAAAAAAATACCACCGATGAAACTGGTAAAAATAAAACAGGGAAAGTTAGTGCAACTTCTCAGGGGGAAGCTGGAACTGCTCCTCTTGGGGAAGATCGGAAAGTTCCTGTCGAGGTCGAAACATCCGCCTTTCCCAAGGCTGCGGGAACTCTCATCGCTAAAGGAACAAACGTCGATAAGCTTGAATTCAAAATGAACAGAGGCAACGACTCGCACGGTCATCTTGATAAAACGGTCGACACGAAGCTACGCGATCCGCTGACCGCGATACCCAAGCCGCGGTATCGCGCCAGCAGCAACAGCAAGTCGCTCAGCGTTTATGTCATCCACCGCCACACCAAATACTGTCCTTTTAATGGTCAGTGAGTGATCCATCTGCGTTATTGCGCGGGGCACTGAAAATAAATTATTGTAATTCATATACATTCGTGTGAACAAGATTCATATAATTCATCAGAACAAGAAGTTTAGATGAATTATCCACTTTCACTTGAATTGATTAATACGAAGTTACCATGCTCTGTAATGTTATTCTTCATTTTTAGCATGTTATATTCTTATTCCAGTCATAGAGGTCGTTAACATCCTCAGGTTTATTACTTTATTATATTATTAACACTGAATTGCTAATTATAAAATGGTTGCAGAGACGCGCGACGAGCGCGGCGTCATCTCGTGGCCACACACCGTAGCCAACGTGGTAGTGAGTCTACCATGCCACGGATCCTCCTCATCCACCTCATTCCACCACAACCAGTTGTACCACTTCACTGGGGACCACCCAGTCCTCCACCCACCCACTGCGTACCACACATGCTCCTCTAATGGTACCTGGGAGCAACTCAGGACCGACGAATGCCCTTTCGCGTCCAAAACCACGCGGATTCTACAGCAATTTTCCCTGACTAATCTCACGACGAGCAAGACGACTTTGTTGAGGAGCACGCGTAGCTTGCATAACTTCACGTGTGGAGGCGAGCAGGTCTTGAATGGCCCCGCAGACGTGGTCTTTCTTGCACGTACAATTGAGTATTACACTTCAGAGCTCATGGCCAGCGTCGACAAGGTAGCTAGGAGTGCGCCGGCGAGTGTTAATGCTGCTGATGTACACCTGCAGCCATCATTTGCACTCAGAAATTCCGAGAACAGAGAGGTCGCCGCCATGCTTCTAGACCTCGTTGCCGCGTCCATGGTTGTTTCTGCTGGTGAGTAACTCGTATTCCTTATGTTTGCCCACGTTATGTGTCATTTTAATTCTGCATATGATTCGTTTTCATCGTTTAAGTCAGACAACTGCGTCTGTTGTGCTTGTTTTTGAGGTGGGGTTTAATATTGCTCGTTTAGCCTCCTATATTTGTATAATTCATGACTCGTGTAGCCGTGGTTATTTTTTATCACTCTGTAGTGCTCTTTTTTCTTATTTTTATTGCTTTAATTTGTATTGGAATTTTATTCCTGAAAGTAATTCTCCCTGTTTTCTTAAGCAAAACAAATTTCTTGAGAGACTGATTTGCAGGTAACCTGAGCGCTGCGGAGACGAGGGACCACGCGTGTAACAGGCTCCTAACGGCGCTGTGGACGGTGACGAGGTCCGTGCCGACCGTCAGCCAGGCCTCACTTCCCCATCTGCACGTCCTACAAATACCCATGCCGGAGCCTCGTGCCCTAGCCAGCAATCCTGAGGGGCGCTCGGCTGTTGAAAGCTTCGATCCAAACATTGCTTCTACGAACTCCGATGAGCACGGCGATAATTCTACTACAAGAAGGCTTCACGTCGTCGATGGCGAACTAAAAATCAGGAGTTTAAAACCTGAAAGTATCGTGGAAAGATCGTCTAGAGTATCGAGGTCTGCGATTGGTAATATTCAGCTGGTGAAGCGCTCTTTCGCCGACAATGAAGCGTTAATGGACGCCAAAAGAAATTCGTTCAGTGCAGAGAAACAAGAAATGAATTCGAGATTACACAAACGAAATGTCGACCATGTTGCTCCATCCACTACAAAGCCAGAAACAGGAAATCGTTTTGAAGAGCTTGCGCGTCTTGACTCTTCAACTTCCAAGTCGATTCATAATCTTAGACTTCAATCTGAGGTATCGAACCTTGAAAGTGCTACTGCTCATTTACGCGATTCTACTGAAGAAAATCTTGTGCCTGAATCTACACGGACTCCTTTTGTGCAAACTACGACGTCAAATGTCTTACGAGACCTTGACACTCCGGACACAGCAGCGCCGTTGGAACTTGACGGGCCTCGCTATATTGAGTTCTCGAACAGCGATAACAAGAAGACGCTGCAGCGACTTCATGAACGTCTGCAGAAAAAGGTTTGGGTTCAATATTCTCTTTAATGTCTGGCTGATTGGCCTATCAAAGATAAACTTGCTCGAATGCTTGGATAATAAGCCAATCAGGTTAATTCCAACGATATTCGTTATCATCATTTGTAGGTATACACACTATGCCGTTCAGTATTCATTGATTAGTGAAAAATTAACACTTACAAGATATCGTCACGGTTAAGGGATAAAAATGTATTTTAGTCCCTAAAAAGTAATTAAAATAGACATTTTCAAATTTTATTACATCATGTAATAATATTTATATTGTCACCTTCAGACCAAGTAAACTAAAACCTGTTATGAAAGCTTTAGAGCTAGTCGCCGTACACGGTGAACGCATTTAAAATCAAATGTTTAATTACAATTGGTGATTTATGTTGTTATGTTGACGTTAATCGCAGAAAGCTAATCTTACAGATGTTTATGAAGTACAGATGTTGATGAAGACTTCATGATGCATTTAAATGAATATTTGAATTGCAGGTTGCGTCTCCCGAAGCGTTGGTGTGCGTTCTTCACAGACGTTCGCTGCACAGCAGACAGCGACGCCTGTCTTGCCAGTCATCGTCTCAGGGCGCCTCGAGGTAAAGCTTCGTTTGCTGCAACTGTTTTCTCTGTACATCAACACTCGACAAACCCGCGTGTTTCTGAACCTCTGGGGGAGATGGGTACCGTTACTCGAGTTTAATCTGGTGACCTCGAGCGGTGTCGAGCCTATAACTCGGTAGTCTCTAACTTGGTAGCCTCTAACTCGGTAGCCTCTAACTCGGTAGCCTCTAACTTGGTAGCCTCTAACTCGGTAGCCTCTAACTCGGTAGCCTCTAATTCGGTAGCCTCTAATTCGGTAGTCAACTATTGCGTGTTTACGATTATGTTTACATGACAGGCGTCGAATTTGTGCCAGAATCTGTAAAATTCCAAGTTTGCTATTGGTCACTGAGTTCTAATTGCCACTAAGTGATAATCTTCTTATTGATCGTCTTTGAGAAAAGACAAGCTAGCCCTCTTCAAAGTTGCTTGTGGTCTTCTGGAGCATGACATAGGTTTTCTTCGTGGCCTGAAATGAAGGATGAAAAACTGTATCTACTTCTTATTAAATGGCAACGTTGGTGTCTTATTGTTATGAACTTGTACCGAATCTTGGGCTCAATAGGTTAAGTTAATTTAACCTCGTGTTAGGCAATTTTTGTTAATGAACTTAGAAATACTTTTTCTCTAAAGAAATGTGTATGATGTTTTTGCCGAAAATCGAAGGAAACGCTGATTAATTTCTTTCCATTCATTGAATTTCCGCCTTTCAGACCCGACGATGCTGTGGTCGACGCAGTGCTTGAGATTCCTGCGGCACACTTCAGTCGATTTTTCCATCTGCCGGAGAATTCGCCGCCTGTCAAAAATCAAACCAAGTCGAATACAGAAAAAGTGAGCACAGCTTTTGGATCATCGGCACCCGCTAACATGCGTCTCGTAGATGCAGCCCCGGGGACCGCTGATTTTCGAGATAGATTTGTTCCCCCCAAAAAATCGAATATAGGCGACCAACATGGCCCTGATTTCCTCAGTCTTGAAAACGAAAGTATATCTTCATCTGGTATAGCATCTAAACAGCAACAGCACACAAAACTGAATGACGATAACAAGCGAAATACAAGAGACGTCACTCGTTTGAGTAGCAACCTGCTTGTACCCAATCAAACTGTGTGGCCGCAACCTCAAGGCCCGAACCTCGCCGACACTCTCCTTAAACGCAACATGGATTGGATGCACCTGGGTCAGTCGCACGACTACGCTCCGCCAAGCTCCCGTCGGATCCATGTTTTCGCATTCGAAACCTCTAAGCTTTTCCCTCACTTTGCCGTTGAAAATTCTTCGTTCGTTAACTGGGATGTGACATCGGTGGTTATCGGCGCTCGCCTTGATGATCAAGGTCTCAACGAGAGCTTTTCGTTACTCGGCAATTCAGTGACGGTGACGTTGCGCACGACTCTATACAGTAACAACATCAGACCGGTGTGGTGGAGAGCTGGCGACTTTCAAAAAGGGTCTATGGGATCTTGGTCCAGCGAGGGCTGCGAGGTGTTGAGGATTGTCAACTCTAAAATCATATTCCAGTGTGACCGACTCGCTCACTACGGTATATTGCAAGACACGAGTTTCTTGAAAACCAGAATTTCTGACACAGGTGCAGAATTCCGCCTCAGTGCTCCGGCTGTCTATGTTGGGAGTTTTGTGTGCGCTTTCCTGCTAATGATCACCATCGTTACGTGGGCCATTCATCACCCACGTATACACACTACCAGTAAAAACAAACACTCATACATCAACACCTGGATTGCCCTCATGCTCCTCATTGTTCTTTTTACAGTTGGTGTTTATCAGACCGAAAGTCGACCTTTTTGTCAAGGCATTGGCATCCTATTGCATTATCTCTCATCTTGCGTGCTACTCTGGATTATTGTGTCTGTGTCAAACCTGTATAAGAAAGTTACGAAAGCTTTGCGACCTCCTCTGCTTTCGGACGATCCTCTTCCTGACTCTCCTTTGCCACCGAAACCCATGTTGAGATTTTACCTCGTAGGTTGGGGCATCGCTCTGATTTTGTGCGGTATATCTGCAGCTGTTAATCTGCACCATTATGCTGGGTACAGCTACTGCTTCCTTGCCTGGGCTCCAAGCTTGGGGGCCTTCTATGCTCCATGCGTCGTCCTAGTAACAATTCTGTGCGTCTTCTGTCTCCTCACTCACTGCATGATCAAGTCTGATCCTGGGAGCTACTCTGAGGCAGCTGCTAATACCGAGACTACAGAACTAGAACTTCTGGACGCTGCTTCCCCGAACTCCGAGAATGTCACCACCAATTCAGGCCACACATCTCACCTCACGGCTCATCTCAACTCTGACAGACTTAACGCTGATGAGCTCAGTCTGTCTTCGAGTGTCAGCGAAAATCTGTATGACAGCCACCACAGTCCGCTGACGCAGCTGCGAGCGCATGAAGTCACATTGCTGCTGTTTGTGTTGACCTGGGCATCAGCTGCTATCACGACTGCTGGTCCTTTTCAGTCCGTAATATCTCATCATATAACAATCTTCAGTCTCGTCTACGCCATCTGCTCGTCGAGTCTCGGCATATTTATTTTCTTATTCTTTTGTCTTGGGAGATCAGACGTTAAGCAAGCATGGCGTGCGACCGACCTGAAATCATGCTTTTGGATAAAACCGATTGGAGAAGAAGTGCAAGTACAAGTGGCTAACAATACAGTTGCTGCCAGCAGCAGCGGTGGCAGTGGAGGTAGCGGCACGCATCTCATTCCTGTCAGTAACACGAGTGTTGCATCTGGAAATCATTTCAGTGGCGTTCACTCGGTCCAGACTATTCACAACAACCACCAAGAGAACAACGTCTTGCATGCGGTCGCCAACAGCGTTCATAGTTACGATTCTTCTCGTTCTCCCACCATCAAGTCATCGTCTGTTTCTCACCAAGTTTCTTCACCCATTAAGAGCGACGTGTTACTCAAGTCTGAAAACGTCAGACCTCAAGGAACGGCATTGCAAATGATAAATTTTGGTGCTGCTTCTGAAAATTTTCAATATTCTCCTGAAATGTTCTACAATCCAAAACAAGCTGGCGTCGCAAAGAGGTTTTTCCAGAAACAGCGGATGAAGCAATTGATCAAACAAAATAATTTTGGAATTAATCGTGAAGAAGACAGCGACTGTAACTCTTCGGTGCTCTACAGACCGCGACCTGTACGTTCCAATAACTCAGGCTCTGACGTGTCAAGCTTCGATCCATCGTTTCTGGGAGCGTCTAGTAAAGTGAATAACACAAACATCCATGTGGATCATAATTTATATTCCTACATGTCGGCGAATAAACAAGCCTCTAAGACTCCAACACCTGAGCTGCTGTGCGTTTTTGGTCCGCACAAAGACCAGAACATCACTAATGCCGAAAAACATAAAAAATCATTTTCTCGAAGTCCAAACCAGACAGACCACATCCCTCGTATTGACGCTACTAATGCCTACCAGTATTCCTCCGAGAGTTCATACCAAACGCCTTCCAAGGCTCATGTCACCGATCGCAAAGCCAGTCCAAACCTGCACGTTGAAACAGAAGTAATCGTTTCTCGTCAGCGCAGTCCTGCCTGCGAGAGCTCGGCCGACGAAGCTGAGTTGCACCAGAGTCGCAAAGCTGGCAGCAGAGGTCGGCTGCCAGGAAAACAGCGTCATAGAAGGACCAAGTCGAAGAGTGGAGTTGTAAAAGACAAGTGGGCTACAAGTAACGAAGGCGACGTGCCGTTAAATGAGTTACCACAAATGATTAGTGATCAAGCTTCTGCTGATTCCAAGTATATCTCTCCAAACTCTGTTCCTGACAACGGTTTAACGCAGATGACAGCCAATGCCTTGGCTGATTCGTTTGGAAAAGAATCAATAGGGTCTTCTTCTCCTGTTTTTGGGCTGAAAGTCGAGAACGTTGACCCCGATAATATCACCGTTCACTCATCACTTGTCGATTCACATCCCAGTTGGCCTCATGTACTTTCCAGCTCATCAACTGCGAAGAAAGCTCGTGGTCAGCGCTTGAATATCCCTTGGCACGAAGACCTCCAAGCTGTTGGGAGTTGGGACAGCGAAACTGGCGAGGAAATGTCATGTTGTGAAGGTGGTGGAGAAAAAAGGTTCAGTGTTGGCGATGTCAGCGACCGAGTCAGTGTATGTGGTACGTTCAACACGAGCCGGAACAGCATGTGTAGCGATGTCAGTATCGACGACAGCAGCATTGCCACAAGTCTGATAGCCGGGGCTGACACAAGCCCACCAGCAAGCCTGCTTGTTTCTGATCCACCTTTTGATTCTCCGTTGCATCGCTTGCACCAGAATACCCCTGATGATGCTTCTGTTTCATCTAGTTTTGTTTCGTCGCCAGTGCGACGTCCTTTTTCTCCCTCAAACTTTCCTTTCTTTAGGAATGAGAATAATGCTCCTGGAAAAAACGATAATGATTATCCTTGCAATACTGGCAATATCAAAGGCAAAAGAAGGGTTCGGAAGAAGAGTGATCGAGGTAGTAAATCTTACCCCGAGTCTCCCGCTAGTCCTCCAGATTGCAGCCAGCATGCGGCTAGCTTAGGGCGGCAAAATCGCAATCTCACTAGACACGGACAAGATATACTTGAATTCCATGGGTCAGTAGATGGAAAACGAATCTCAGTAAAGGACCCTGGAACTATTGAAGAGAGATTCACACCCCGAGATGATGTGGGTGATGCATCTGAGGCAGACTACGATGTGACGCAGACAGATCGCTCGTCGACCGTGAGTACCGACATCGCTGCGTGCCAGCTTCTCATGACCACGCCGCGCTCTGAAGGATCTAGTGATTCTGACTGCGCACCTATAGCATTCATTAACCAGGAACCTCCAATAAATATCGCTGAGGAGTTTACTCGAAGGAGAGACATCAAACGTCGATCAAAAAATACTAATAGACAGGGTTTAGTATTCTCATCTAAAAATTGTATAAATGAAGACCAAGTTGCGGAATTTATAAGCAGTTCCAGCGATGAAGAAGCAATTGGTAACTTCTCTTCTACGCCGACGTCAGCCGTGCCTCTTCTTTCCTCGCTGACTGAGCCTCTACTTTATCCTACTCCTCGGGAAGACCAAGTACGGAATTCCAATGCTGCCAATTTATCAAGAAGAGTAGAATCTTCCGAATCTCTACTGTCACACGTATCTCCAGTTCCTGGCTTTGAATCTGCTATTTTTTGCCAGCCCGACGTCCCAGTTGTTCTTTCTAAGCCTTTGTTGACATCAACTCCAATTAACCAGTTTTCTCCGCTCGATAATTCGTCCCAATTATTTTCTTCCAACTCAGCCACTAAGGACCTGCAGTTTCCTGGCCCATCATCCGCTGCGCCAGTGCAAGATGTTAAATTAGCAAAGGGCTCATCACCCTTGCCCACCATTGAACGCTTGAAGAGTAGGACTACATTTCCTGCCGATCGGACTAGTTTAAGTCAATCGAAAACTTACTCAGATATTCCTAGTGCTGCCAAGTCAGTGTCAATAGACAGCAGCGATCAAAGTACGTTGGTATCCAGAGGTAAAGGTAGCTTAGAGATTTCTGACTCGTGTAAATCTAGTCAAAATGCAGAATATGATAGGCGTGTAAATATCGGTAATGATAGTGCTAACTTTAACGATAACTTTAGGTCGAATTTAGAGAAAACCCCCGTGCAAGATGCTGCTGGTTCCTCGTGTTCTATAGATTCTGATGGTGCTTTGCTCGGATCAAGCTTGGGCAATCTCCCTGAAGGTGTCAAAATCTGTGCCAATCTTTCAGAAGCAAACATGTCAGCGACCCAAGATTCCTCGGCAGATTCCTGCTCTAGCCGAGAAACCTGCGTGTGAAGAACAGAATTTAAGATTTAAATGAATTCTTTTGATGCAAGTCGCTTGTCACGAGAAAACTGTGTTTTGATACTAAGTTTATCAGGTACATTCTGTATTCGGTTTGCAGACTCTGAATAAATGTAGAAAAAACGTTAAATTCATGCAGTAAATTCTGAATGTAATATTTACAAACTTGATTATAATTTCGTGGATTTCCATGCAGTTAACTCCGTATAAATCTGTAAACTGTGTAAAGCTATCAGGGAAGTGTAGATAAAGCTTGACTGAAGCTCGCTACATATCAGACTGGAGTTTCTGACGTCAATACAGGCATCTTATTTCATATTTCTCATTAATACTTAACTACTAGAAATATTTCATGTGATTCTTGCGTTATTTCTCCGACCACGTAACGTATGTTAACATTTTGTTGTATGATCTCAACCTATGCCCGATTATACCTCCTTGATCGTGCTGGACATTCTTCGATAATTACAATGATGTAATCTCAACTGTGTAGCCCAGAACTGAACCAGATGAATTGATAAGCTTGGCGACGTGTATCTTGTCGACCTAGTGTTATCTTAATAATTGTGAAACTTGTTAGAAGGATCAAATTGTTAAGCGTAACGAGGTGTTTCTTGTCGACCAAGTGTCATCTCAATTGTGAAACTCGTTGAAAGTATCAAATTAGCGAGCAAAGCACAGAGAACAATTAAGGAAAACACTTTTCCCTAATTTTGTGGTGTTAGCCTTATGTATTGTTACATATTTGTGTCAATAATTTAAGTTCGCTTTAAATGCTTTGGATTCATAAACATCTCTGTCGAAGAAATTTGATATTCATTATTGAACGACAGCTAAATTATTCACATAGTTAATTTTACTCGAGCTTGTTGACGGTTATTGTGGCTGGTAGGGTTATCTCATGGCTGTAAATCAATTGTATCTCTCTGTACGAATATCATAATTATTATGACAGAATTATATTTCCATGTTTTCTTTCCGTGGATGAACCCAATTATCAGTTTTTGTCTTTTAAACTTGAAAGTTTTAAAAACTTGTACTGTTGAAAGGTACTTAAAAATTTAGGATATATGAATATAAATTAGGATAAAATTATTAGTTCAGGTTTTTTGTTCTTGCGCGTATTGGGCATTGCTCGTCTGGATTTTGTATCTTTAAATTCAGAACAAAACGTACCTCGATGTTCGAATTTTATCGTCGAGTTAATTATATTGTATGTTATACGATTAGAAGGCCATCTTGTGTTAAGTAAGGCTTGGCACACGATCAGTTGACAGCTCTCTTATCCTAACCCCCAAATAACAATAATTACAAAGCTGTTTTTTTTATAGAATTCTCTGCCAAAAAAACTTCACTGGATACTCTTCTTCATCTGTATCATTCATAGTACAGTTAGAAGTGTAGGATTGTGTTTATTTGAAATTTCAATGCGCTAAATCACGAATTAAAGCCAACAATAATGTTAACTTTATATTTGTTCGACGCTGACTCATCAGTTTCCACATTTTTTCGAGTATCAAATATAAACAAATTAAACATTCTATTTGTCTTAAGCTTTGTAATATGCTGGATCTAATTTGACCTTGAGTACCTCTTAATTAGCTTGAGGTAATTTTAAATGCCAAGATATTCCAACGTCATTTGCACCTCTTATCCGCATGCCGGCTACACGAAAACAATGATGAATGCCAAAGTCAATGGCACCTCCGAAGCGCACCCTCTCTGGTAAAGTGAGTCTCTTTATGGAACGATTAATTTTATAGTTATATACGAAAAATGGGCATCAATCGAAACTAAAATAATTTCTGCAATAGCCTAGGTATTTTTTCGTTGGGGCAACCATCGGCTTAATGGAGTAAACATGGGTGCTTTAAGTTGAGACTTAAGGAAAATATGTCATTAGAAGGAGATCTAATTAACGCCGATATCCTTTTCAAGTATATTTAAATGCTGAGCTAATACAACAATCGATAAACTTATAACTTTATTAGCTATGAAGTTCTCCACTTCTTTCTGATTGAGCTTCAGGTGTGCCTAGCACAATTATTGTGTTTATGCTATAATTTCATCTCATATTTTTGTTCAAATTTACAATGTGTTACGTACTTAAACTGATCATTAGTTATTTATTTCATTTGTGAATCTTCATATTACAAATCTCGTAGTTATGCAATTGTTTCAGTAGTTCTTTTTCTGTAATATGGTTATTTCTTATTTATAGAAATTCGATCTCGATCAAAACGCTTCGATTTGTGATTTTTTTCATGTTTTTTCAGTTTTTTCTCAACTGTGTTACTATTTCAGTTAGTTGTGTGTTACCAATTTTTCAGATCAACCTCCTGAGTGGATGAAAGCTCTTAGAGAGTCTCGGTGCAATTTAATGTGTTCAGTGAAAATATAGTGTCATTGTTAAAATAATTTTAATTGCACTGCTACAAAGCAAACGTTTTTAAATTATTTGCCTGGAAGGATTACTTTATATTATTTTTATTCGATTATTTTTACGAATGAAAATGATTATACTGAAGATACTTCACATAATCATATTTCAGTTTGTTGTATGTGAGGATTCTTGCTTGGAGACGATGAATCGATTGCAGTACAGTTGTTTGTATCCATGAATAATTTTCCGCTTCTTAGATAGATCATTACTAGTAGAAACGCTCTGATACTATTTTTAGATTATACTATGCATTATTTTGTAAAGTAATAAATCACATTAAATTACATATGTACAGTGTCAGTTGAATGTTATCGTAGATAGAAATCACAATTTTCTATAGAACTGTATTTTCTATGAGTAAAATTGCACTCCCAACATTTCAATGGTTTTGCTTTCCTGCAGGATTTAGTTTCTCTAGAGTCTAGAATCTAGATTGATAGATATTGATAGAGACTCCAAGTTCCCTTTTTGAAGTGCGAACAATCGTTAATCATGTGTTTTCATGATGAAGTTCAGTTCAGTTCTCTCCGCGCCATAAGGCGCACAAGGCTTGGACGTCACTCCTCCACTGGGTCCGGTTTGCAGCTGCCTGCCGTGCTATGCCGTGCACTCATGATGAATATTTGCTTCAATTTCCAAATTACAAATATTTGTTCCAATTTCCAAATTGATTGTTATTAGAATATAGAAAGAAAATCAATCATGAGCCCCGAATTTTTTCACATTATCCCTATGTCTCATGCGCTTCCATCAAGTCATCGGATCTCTGACGGCCTAACGTTATTCTCTCTTTAACGTAGTTTGTCAGAAACACAGCTCTTTATGGGGCTTTATCTCTGTTATGTAAATACAAAACAGAATTTTGGTAACGAAGGTATAATCAATATCCTCGCTTTATCATTATTTAGTTGCTTTATTTTTGCTTATTTAGTCAATAGTCAATGCGGTAGCGCGTGCGTGAAGGAGGGGTGGGGTGGGGACGGCCGGGGTAGCTTTCACATAGCGCTTCCATCAAGTCATCGGAACTCTGACGGCCTAGAGTCCTAGACTAAAACTCTTCATGGGGCCTTATCCTTGTTATGTAAATACATAACAGAATTTTTGGTACTGAAAGTATAATCAATGTCCTCGCTTTATCATTATTCAGTTGCTTCATTTCTGTTTATTAGTCGACAGTCAATGCGGTAGCGCGTGCGTGAAGGTGGGGTGGGGACGGCCGGGGTAGCTCATCTCATTGTTCTCATGGGTCATCATACCACTTACCCCTACCGTTTCAACTCTTACTACATTTTACGCTCCTCCTTGTGGGTGCAGCAAACATTGCATTGTTTAAGAAAATACGCTTCAATTGAATGCGTTGAGTAGTTTCCATTGCACACTGCAAATTTTTGTGGCTCCCACAATTTAAGATAAAACCATGTAGAGACGGCTGTAGTTATAGTAGCTCATGAGAAATGTGTCCAAAATCAGGTGCTTTCATATTATTGGATCCTTATAAGTGTCCTTTATCGCCACAAACTGTGTTGAACTGTTTTTTATATATTTTATTTATCGAAGATTTCAGTTTCTGATGGCGAGCTTTGTTTTTAGACTAAATCTTCAAGCGGATGCTGGTTACAGCTGGTACGTAGGAAATATTTTTTAAGTACGAGCGTGTTTTGTTTATGAATTAATTTATTACATTCTATAATATTGAGATAAGTATATCATTACTTAACCAATGTAACTTTTGATTGTGTGTCGTGATTTGAATACATATCGAAAAGTCACTAGCAATCAGTTGGGTCGAGGGTTATGACCCTTTGTTCTCCTGCTTCAAGTTCAAGCGAAAATCGTCCCACCGCAGCGTCGGTGCCGCTTCGATTGTGTATGTTAGCTTGCGACTGACGAATGAGACCACCAAAAGACTTGTTTACTTCAGAATTTGTGTCGTTTGGTAACCAAAACAGCGGATTTAATATTTTAATTTTCATTATCTTCTTAAAAATATGAGTGGATCCATCTCTAGTCCCAGTATAGGGCTAAAAGAGAGTTGTTTGTGCTATTTGCAAGTGTTCGGGGCGTAAGCAACATGGCGGCCGTTTAGCGTCTCTGGCCTGAAGGCTGGAAATTGAGTGCGGTTCGCTATATTTGAGTAAGTTCACGAAGACTTTTGATGAGCAGCGTGCTACATTTTTATTTTCCATTTGGGTATCTACTACGGTTGTGACACTTCTGATTCATGGATTTTTATGTCCAAAGATCTTCGACACGAATCTTTTGTGCATAGCCTATCTTGGCATGATTTGATTATTGATATTATTAAAATTTGTTTTTCCAAAAACCGTTCAAAATTGCATTCTGTATAATCAAATGTTTGACAATGATCATTTGCACAGTGCATAAAGTTAATTCTTGTTGGAGTTCCAAATTCCAATTGTCCATAAATTTGAAATTTAAGCAAAAAATTACTCTACTGCCCTGAGTGTTATGCCCAGGTATGCCCTTCTGCCCGAATCACTGGACACTCTCAGTGTACCTAATAGTGTCACTGTGTCAGTGTTTTTGCCTATCATTCAGTCGTTGATTCCGGCTGTTATAGTCATACCTTAGATACCTACCTACCTAGTAGCTAACCTAGATGTCATTATGCCATGGTCATTGAAGAGTTTCTCCTTGATAAGTTTTTAATTTTTCCTAGTTTATTACAAAAAGCATTTAGTTTCTATTGATTTTTCTCGCCTTTAGCATGCCTTTTATTACTTTCATCAAGTTTCATGGGTATTATTGCAGATTAACTACATCCAAAAAAAAGGGTGTTTTTTTTTTTAATTATATGTTTTTTGGGGTGTAGATTACGAATCTGAAATCTTGTTTGTGGTATTTGCAAGTGTTCGGGGCGTAAGCAACATGGCGGCCGTTTAGCGTCTCTTGCCTGAAGGCTGGAAATTGAGTGCGGTTCGCTATCTTCGAGTAAGTTCACGAAGACTTTTAATGAGCAGAGTGCTACATTTTTATTTTCCATTTTGGTATTTACTACGGTTGTGACACTTGTGAAGTTGTGATTCATGGATTTTTATGTTCAGAGATCTTCGACATGAGTCTTTTGTCAGTTTTGTGCATACTAGGCTATCTTGGCCATGATTCAATATTATTGAAATTTCTTCCTACAAAAACAGTTCAAAATTGCATTCTGTATCAAAGGTTTTAAAATAATCATTTGCACAATGCATAAATTCATTCTTGTTGAAGTTCCAACTGTCCATAAATTTAGAATTTAAGCAAAAATTGCTTTCTTGCCATGAGTGTTATGCCCTTTTGGCTTTTGCCTCAATCACTGGACATTCTCAGTCTCACTGTGTCAGTTTCAATGTTTTTGCCTCTCATTCAGACTTTCAGTCAATGATTCAAGCTGTCAGAGATGCCATGATTATTATAGAGTTTCTCCTTGCTAGGTTTACCATTTTAATTGTTTTCCTAATTTATTACCAAATAGCATTTAATATATATTGATTTTTCTCACCTTTAGCTTGCATTTTTTTACTTTTGCATGCAGCATGCCTACCTTTTTTTGCATCAGATACCTAGTTCTTAATAGTTAATTCTTATGAAATTTTCTACCTCAGCAAGTGTAAGGATGTCTTGATTTAATTGGTAGGCTAAGACTAAGAGTACCTTGTACCTAATCAATGAGTTTATTTATGTACAATTTTTACATAATAAATTAGTGATAATACCTAGATAATTTTATGCTTGAATTTTATCAATTTTTATCATCAATGGACAATGATTGCCAGACTAAATGTAAGGTAGAAACTATTTATGAATTAGCCAAACCTACTTTACTCATCATGCAAGTCATGTCTAGGCAAAATTCCAGCTATGTTGTGGCCACTGGCCAGAGTGCAGAGAGTGGGCAAATATCTAAAGATCTTTGGTGCAATATAAGCTTCTAAATCTAGGTCTTTATGAGATCTTGCCAACAAATTTCTCTTAAAATACTTCCTTACATCAATTTTTGGACAAATCTTGAACCTTGAAGCAAGTTGAAGGTTTAGGTAGTTTTGGTGACAAATTCCCAATAATAGTGGTAACAGTTTGCACCCAAAAAGTTAAATATGAGATTCTAGCAGCACATTTGCCATGGTGATGTGGGCCTGTGGGTGGTGTACTCTTTCACTCCATCTGGAAAATATTTTTTTCTATAGAAGTGAAACTCAAGTGCTGGGAACAGTCTGAGTGGTAGTTCCCAAGTAAAAGCTTATTATTTTATTTAACTAAATCATCCAACCAGTTGTTATATTTTTACTATTTTTTATATCCATCAATTCTCCCTAATTAATATGTAGCACCATCATGCTTCATGACTAATTGATATGAATTTTCAGGATTGGTCCAGTGCAGGGTGCTCTTCAGCAATGACGGAAACATCAAGTGTCACTTCAAGCAATTATGCTCAGGACATGTTCTCACCTATACAGTTTTGTGAGGTGGTACAAGAAGGATCACAACTTCACCTGCAGCAGCATCAACATCCACAACAGTATCCTCTCCAGCTGTCTGTGACAAACACAAGTTCATCAAATGTAACAGCGACATCAAATATGATGATATCTACCATGACATCTACAGGACAGACCATCCAACAACAACAGCCACAGAAATCTCCTCAAGAACAACAACAACAGCTTCTTCAACATATGCCCCAGCAGTCACAGCAAATATTACTGTCACCACAAAAAGCTCCGACTTTCACCTCAACTTCTTTACTTGCAACTTCTACACTTCCTCTTCCCACACCTCCTCACCATATGTCACCGTCATCTTCTGCTCTTGCTCCTTCCCCTCTTCACCATCACCCACATCACCTCCACCAGCTGCACTTGCACCATCATCACCACCTTCAACAACATCATCAGCATCAGCTGCAACCCATGCAGCCTCACCAAGTTCACCCACATCATCATCACCATCATATTCACCCACATCATCTATACCCTCATCAACACCAATTACAGATTCATCAGCAGCAACAGCAGCACATGCATCATCACCACCATCACCAACAACATCTGCACCAAGCCCAACATCTCCAACAACAACAGCATCAACAACAACAGCAACATATCATTCCCCAGCCTGGGCTTCAACAAGCAATGCTTCCTCCACCTCATGTGCCATTAGTCCCTCTGAAAACGAAATCAAATTCTAGACAGTCTAAACCAAAGCAGAGTCGTGCTGCTCAGTCAAGAAATACTGGCAATGCAAGCAAGAGTAACGGGACTTCTATTTCAAAGGATGCAAAATCAAAACATTCTCAGAATGAACAACCCCTCAAAATTACTGATAAGTGTTCAAGTACCAATAATTTCGTTCATGCTAACCAACAGTCTGTTAAAACGGATATGGGGGCTCAAGTCTCAAGTGATGCGCAATCAAAGAAACCTAAACACTTGAATACAGAAAGTCCAGATGTCATTAAACATTGTGCAGCTGATAAGCGCTCTAGTATAACTGCAATGGGAGGCACCACTAAAAAATGTGTCACTACCACAACGAACTCAAGCGGGAATTGTTCTTATGAAACTGAGAAGTATGATGGTTCTTCGAAAGAAGAAATGAAAAAAGATATTCAGTTACTGAAGACTGAAGCTGAACTGTCTGGTACTGGTGTCTTGGTGACATCAGAGTCTGACACTAAACAGTCGTCCGTGAAAGCTGAAGTAAAAACTAAATTTCCTGCAAGTGTCGATAATGAGCAAATTATTGAAGATGCTTGTGAAACTGCCAATACTAATACCATAAACGATAAGCTCCACACTGTTTCAATTTGTACAACCGTCAGTAATTCTTCTTGTAGTAATACAACAGCAAACTCCACTGGAAGATCAAAAGCACCTTCATCAACTTCGGAGCTCTCTCTGCCGGGCCATAAAATGGAAGCATCTTCTTCAGTGCCACTTATATTGTCAGCCCAGGTACCGCCCTTACAACTATTGACACCTTCAACTTCGTCCTTGCAACAAATGTCCTCATCTGATCTGGCTACCGTCCAGGATTCGGTACCGCCAATTTTGCACCAGCCTTCCCTCGTTACCCTACAGCTCCCTACCTCTGAGCACGCTATACCTGCAGCAAGCGCTGGTATGGAACATGGATCCATTACTACTACACTTGGAGAATCGTACAAAATTGGAAAAACAGAATACACTACTCAGTCCATTTTGCAGAGTCCTTCTAAAATATTGTTTCTTCAACCCAGCATGAAGGCTTTACCCGAGTCGTCATCAGTCTTCATAACTTCAACAAAAAGTATTCCCTTTGTTCACCAAAACAATGATGTTGCTTCACCTGCCAGCGTTGCTGTTTCATATCCAGATTCAATATCTAAATTAAATGCATCGGTTCCAACTCCTATAACTTCACATGTCAACTTGCCTGCTTTTATCTGTCCTGAAGTGCCAGTCTCTAATTCAAATTACAGTAAAGGAAATGAATCTTCCAATGCGAATTCTTTTTCGCAGATAAAAGAAGTTGAGTGTTCTCAAATCAAGACAAGTCCGGGAGATGAAATAAATGTTACTTCTAAATCAACTGATGTGGTTTCCTCAGAAGCTGCGGATTCTACTGTAGCATTGAAAAGGAAGCCAAGCAAGCCTAAAGTGGCCACACGGTCCGTGTGTATTGGCACAGACACTGAGCCTGATTTTCCGTGCAATCCTTATGAACTTTCCCCTCCACACCTTCGAGTGTCGGTCAGCACCAACACATCTCCCCCTGAATCACCTGCACTAATTACTGATATTTGTCCTAATGTTGAAAATTTGTCTGATGGGTACCATTCACTAAGTCCTAAAACTGAATTTCCGTCCAAAAATCTGGATGAAAATGTCGTTCATTCTCCTTCTGCATTAGAGATGGATGAATGCAAACCCTCTTCGACCATTTCTAATGATTCTAAGACTCTATTCAGTGAAGATTTCAAACCTTCTTTTGCTGGAAAAGTGTCAATTTTTTCTGAAGAGCATTCAACGAACCGATTTCAAACGTCAGATTTGACTTCTGACAAGCAGACGCCTACTTTGATGGATGAATCGCTGACTGGTATTAAAATTAATAACATGAGTAACTGCGAGGTACGTGATGTTGAAGAATTGAAGGAATTTTGTGACACGGAAATCTCGCACATGAGTCCAAGTGTTGTCTCATGTCACTCAGATTCGTCCAGTTTGTTAAGTGACGACAGTGCAGTGCATGATTGCGAGCTCCAGCTTGCTGATGAACCTGATTCAACTTTTGATACCTACCCCACTGTTGAAGTTCCACCTGACAGCTCAGCGCGTTCGCACATGAGTCCAAGTGTTGTCTCATGTCACTCCGATTCGTCCAGTTCGTTAAGTGACGACAGTGCAGTGCATGATTGCGAGCTCCAGCTTCCTGATGAACCTGATTCAACTTTTGATACATACCCCACTGTTGAAGTTCCACCTGACAGCTCAGCGCGAAGTAATCTCCAGAACGAAGTGTCAAATAAAGATGATGAGGTATATACGTCATTTCAATTTTAATTTTTGAAATTTATTTATACGTGATGGGGGTTATCAGAATAGTGTTTTCTGTATCTGTATTAAAATTATCAATAATTATACACGAATCTTTGATTTACTGTGTTAAAACTAAATGAATTTTACTTTTATTAGGTGATGGTGATCGCGATGACGCCAGGCCACGCAGCCCAAGGTGTGGACAAGGCGCCCGTGAAGCGGACCTGGCGTCGCCCTTGGAAAAAGAAGAAGGAGCGCGAGAAGAAGAAGAAGCCCGCGCGCAAAGTGCGTCGAAGCAAACCCAGGCGACGCGCCACGTATCACCGAACGCAAGTCATACACATCGACGTTAGAAACGGACCTCCGGTTAGTCCATGTATTGCATTTAATTTGCTCGTGTGATGACCTCTGGAAATAACAGTAATTGCAAGTAAAATTATGAACATTTATACTACATAAGTTATATCGCTGGATGTTTGCAGGTTTAATAATTATAGTGACTAAGAAGTGGCTGTAGACACCAAGTTCTGTTCATACAAAAACGTTTAAACTAAAAGGCAAGCATGTGGTTTCGGACACAGTTTTGCCGGTTAGAATGGAATGCATAACCAGCAACTATTCTCACGACCGCTAGCTCCCGATCGACGAGGTAGATGTTCTTGTCACGATTTTTAGACTAGCTGTGAAGCGGTTCCTCATTTTCATGTCCCTACGTACTTTTCATCTGATAAAATTTCACCCGAATACTCGAAATTTTAAATTATTTTTGTATATACTTGTCAGTTCCTCTATTTGTTTATAGTAATTTAGACCCTGAATATTCATAAAAATTAAGTCTTCAGGCTAGGAATGTTAATTGAGATAACGTTGATACCTCAAATGTATTGAATTGTCGAGAAAACTATAATTATCGTAGTACTCTGATGCTATTTTCATTGTATGTCAGCTGTTGAAAGGCAATCGTTTTATCAACACTAATTTTCTCTAATCTATCAGATTGACACGACAAAGACGATTGTGAGCCGGCAGTCGGAAGACCACATCGATTCTTTAAAGCAGAAGCGGCAAAGGATAAAACTCAACCGAAATTCAGGGAGGGAATACGTCAACAGGCTTGGCAAGGTACATCCATAATCATTGCCGATTTCAACACCATAACTAAAATAACTTTCCTTAATAAAATCTCAAGCTATTTCTCACCTGAGCCTCATTTTTTATTCAAAAGATTGTGCGCCTAGGAATTATTGTAATGTATTTTTAGTCGATGATAACCGTCGCAATTATTAATTGGATTACATTTTGTAATGTAATGAGTTTTGAAATTCATATCAACCACTCGTGGCTCGTATTTGACTCAGAATTTGAAGGCAGCGCAAATGTAACTGGTCTAATGAAGTCCCAGGCGTATAGTTAATTGTCTGTGTTCGTCAGATCGTACAAGCTCGGAAAGTTGGCAAGCCCTGCAACTGCCCCATGAAATGCTGGGACAGAATGGGCTCCAAGGTTGTGGTGATCTTCAATAACTTCTGGGATCTCTGTGATTTTAATTTGCAGAACTCCTACCTTTTCACGTGTCTCAAACTCTGTGATGTCAAAAGAAGATATACGAAAAAAGTGAGTAATGGATCTTTAGAATTCACTGAACAGCATAATTTATTGTTCCAGTAACCTCGCCTATATTTGTGTTACATTTGGCCGTAAGCTTTCCTAACTTTTGATGGTCTAAGCTACGTCCGGTAAATAATTTTCTTCTTTCATACCAACATTTCGGCGGGTGTATGATTTAACCGCATCGTTAACTGCGAGATGGCTCACGGGAATATCTTTCCATCATCATAGAAAAAAGTAACAACACGCTTACATTCCATCCGCCGACTTGCACTTATGGAATTTAGTTATTTTTTACCTTACGTCTTCGCGTTCTCTTTCACTTCATTTAATGTTGCATTTTCCAGCCCGCTGAAGAGTCACGTCGTCAGAACACGTTCGAGTATTTCGTACGGATCAGCGGCAAGCACGTACGCGTCTGCAAACGTGCCTTCATGAGCGCACATGGCCTCACATCAGACAAGAGGCTCAGAACTTTGCTCTCACAAATGAAGGTAAAGTTACCCATGTCGTGAGCACCAAGTTATGAGGAGCATCAAGACTTACGTGGGTCTCGCGATCTTAGCCTCACTTCAGGTGGTATTTGGCGCACTTGTGTAAAGTTTCCCATACATTGACTGCTGTCTTCATTATATTTTTGTAGTTTCTCACAATGGAGACCTTTATTTAAACAGAATCTTTGCCTAGTTTATTCAACGTATGCCTCATCGAAACATTCACGTGTCTTCATAGTCAGTGAGAATTTGGCAAGTATTTTTTTCGTGTGGTTTTGGCAGGAGGACTCAACTGATGCAGTTAAAACTATGAATGATTTAGTCATTTTATATAAGTACGAAATAAATTTGAATTGATGGAGAATTATGTTCTGAATGTTTACTCCGCGTAGTGGAACTTCAACTTAATTTTCGTTTGCTTCCAGGATGGCGCACTGCTGCCCATTTATGACCGGAGAGGAAAGCATCTGCGCCCCATGAAGCCTAGCGGCAATTTAGATTCTTCATCTCCCACTGCTTCAACTTCTTCATTTTCGTCTCCCCTGCACCAGACCTCTACCACCGGGCCAGTATCGTCCACTTCAGTGGCTGCATCTAAAAAACGTACACGAGTCTCACCTTCGAGCGGAAGCGGCTCAAATAATTCCGGCAAGAAGAAACCGCAAAACGCAAGTACCGGCAGAAACCATCTGGGAAATTTGGGGTTAGCGAATAGCAAAAGTGGGGTGTACCCACCCCCGCCGCCCACCTCAATGGTGCCCCTACATGGTGTCGTTCCTCACTGCTCGGTGCCGTCCCCCTTGGGAAGCATGACTACAGCAACTCCCACTGTGTCGGGAGCGGTGCTGCATCCCTCGGCTGCTCCTGGCCACGGTAATGCCATGCAGGAGCCTCCGCATTCATATATTCCTAATGGAGAAATTTATTTCGCCAGTCATTACCTGGACCCAAGTCAAGGGATGACTCACATTAACCAAATTACGCCTCAGTGCCAAAAAATGCTTGAAAGCCCTGCTTATTTTATGGCTGGGATGAAAGAAAACACGTTTCATCAGTGACCGCGCGATGTTGATCCTCGTTAATTTTATGTATATTTAGGTGCTTAGCAGGTGGTCGTTTACTGGGCCAGATGCGTTGAATATAGCTATCAACGACATTGTACATTTATTTCTATGCATCTTTGAGTACAGTTTGGTTTACCTACGTTTTAAGTGTAAGCATAATTAGGGCATCACTCGTCCATATGAATCTCTAATATTATGCCTCATCCTTGCCCCACACAAATTATCTCTGACAGGGCATTGACAATACTACTCCTAGCAAGCATTTATTTAGCAAGCATTTATTTCTTTAAGAGACATTTTAATTATAACCTTAAGTGTTGGCAATCCTTGATCAAGTCACAAATAAGTTCGCGTGCATTAAGTTCATCCCTGGCTGTGTTTACTATTAGAAACATCTTGAATGTATGGGTTACGTGCTGTATATGCACGTCTTAGACGACGATTGCTCGTTTCCAGGTTGTGCAGTGAGGTGAAAAAAGGAGCTATCGAAATAATCGCATCTTGAACACATTTGATATGCTTCAATATGTACTGAGTTGTCCAAATCGTAACTCTAGGAGATATCAGCAAGACATTATTCAAATAGTTGCGCGGGTTTTGCCCTTGGGTGGGTTGTCTTGACCCTATATTTCACACGACAAAAAGGCGTAGTAGTGCTACGTGCATCATCATAATTTGGTATGTAACCTATTCATTTTTCTAAATGATATGGTGATGAGGTAAAGAAAAATGGACGTATTTTTTCGGAATCTCAATTGTTACCGATTGTTCATTTCTGCGTATTGCGCTGTGACGAGTCGAGTAGAAAGTCCGTCATTTGTCTCAATCGTATTTCGAGATTCTCTGTTATGTTCATTATTTTCAATTTGCATTATTTTTCTGCTTCGCTTCGTGAGCAATTTTGTAATACTCGTAATATTAGTACTAAACTTTACATCTAGAAAACACCTCATGGGTGCTAGTACCTTGCAAACAATGGTGCCAAACTTTGCCATATGTTGAAGATAGTTCATTGAGATAAGGAAAGCCTCGTTATAAGTGGTAAGCGCTTTTAGAAGTATGCGAGCTAGTAAAAAATATTTCGCGGGCCCCATCTTAAGTACCGGAATACACTAATGTATTGTATCAAGAGAACTCATTATATTTAATTACCTGGTGATTTATAAATTTGCAGCGTCCTGCTGAACATTTAACGTATGTTCTTTGAATGTTGTCTTCTTAGCCAGTTCAGTAGTTGGTCTGGTCTTGAGGATATTTTTCACCCTTTTCTGACGATTAGACCGAACATCTAGGTATCATCTCACATTTTTTTGTTGAGAATCTTGAGTACTCAAAATCCTGGGTGCCGTGATGCACGCACAAATAGGTATGATATCAGGTATTCAGCGATGTACAAATTCAACAGTTTACTGATTTCGATCACACACAAGTCAAACTGCTCCTTAGCTTAAATATACCTGTACCGATAACTTCACCAATCAAATGTAAAGGAAAATATCCAGTGATGTATGAGAAAGGAAGGGGTAAGTTAATAACGCCACCATTCTACAAGAATGATGCCAAAAACCCGAAAAAAAAAACCACCAGAATCTATTCTCTGCCGTTATTAATAAATAAATAATAACTACGCTAATTTAATAACCATACGTGGCAGTGCTAATGAAGGAGAGGGAGGCACACGAAAAGATCTACCAAGCACTCCGTCTCTGCTCATTCGAAGAGAAAGCATGGCACCTTAATTAATGTTTCCTTAATCTCGCACAAAAACAACAGTTCTAATACTAAATGTACAATTAAGATGATATATTTACAAACGATATTTACACCGAGAAATTAAACGACTTGATCTGATGGACTCGATGGTAAAAACGTACAAAATATTATTTAAGTGAATAATATAAGGAAAGGCCGAGGATAATAATTGTCATTGAATGAGCTAAGGTGAGATGATTTAGGTTCATATTTAGTTTAAGCATAATTAGGTAGTCGAGCGAGTCCGCTAGTCACTACTAATGCAAGAAATAAGTACGAATAACTCTACGCTCAGCCCGATGAAGACCGAGACGCCGATCCCACAAACCATAGGTCACAACGAATTGAGATTACCAACTATCTTCACGAAGATAATAATAACCTGAGAGCTGAGATAATCATGTATTGGACGATCTAATAACTTAAGAACATTATAAAAAGCACACTTATTGTAAATTTGGACAGCTTCAACACACTCGTCATAATAATTGAATTCGTACATATTTATATCTAGGAGCTGTAGCAACAGAGCTGCCTCAAAACCCTCCTCAACTACATCAAGCAGATTTTGTCCCAACTGTCAATTTATCAACGACGTTAGTTGTACATAGTAAATACGAATATTTTTTTATATGAACTTATAGAAAAGAGGTACACCAGTGCTCACCAGAGACATGGACGGTGGTCCAAGAGTTTTGCCTTACAGTAAAACTTCTAATTATATACACAATACTATTATAAAAGCGAAAAAAGTGCGATGATGCTCTATTTCTCCAGTCTGATGCTGCGAGGATCAGAAAAAGGACCGAGCCTATTCTTAGCATCGACGGCCCGAACGGCGAAATGATAGCGATGACCAGGCATGAACTGTAAAGGTGCACCATCACGTTAAAACTCAACACTTTAAATCGTTTTTTTTATTTTTTCAACTTGAAAACACTAAAAATACACGCAAAGTTCTACTTAGCGCAGATGCAGAGAATAGGGAAAAAACACATAGCTAATTCCAAGGACACACAAAAGCTTATTCAAAAGGACCCACAATAAGAAAATCAGTAGTTCTTGCCTCAACTTTCCTTCATTTCTTCTATCTACACCTCTATAGCCAAGATAGCTTCTAGTAGATAAATGACATTAATTTAATTTTTAAACTGAGGCACGTACTTGTGTTAGAGTGCAGGCCATGGGAAGTTCCAAAGCCTTGACGGAGCCCACTTTTTTCCACAAGTTCGGAGATGGCGGCTGGTTGCTCTCTTGGTAGGCGAACAATTGGTATGACGCGATGCTCTCGTGCTCGGTGCTTTTAGCCATTGTCCACGATAAAACTATGCCTGCAAAATGCAAGTGTTCAGGATAAGCAGGGTCAGATTATTTTCATTTATCTCGTGACATAGTAAGTTAGGAAGTAGATTCATGAGAAGTAGGTAAGAAATTTCAGCATAATGAATTCAAGTAACAAAATTAATCTTCAATTTCAGTCAAGTCAAAGCTTGTGTTGTGACTTGAATACGGCTAACGGAGGAATGAATGATTCAGGGTAAATACAATTTAGAGTAAATACAGTATAATATAATACTGTCCTGTATATTTTCAACTAGTTAACTGGTTGAAAAGAAATACTTACTATTTTCTTTGTGGCTGAGCTTCAATGTTGGCTGAGGTGGTAGCTGCTTCGCCCCACCAACCACTTGCTGTGGTGCAGTCCTCGGCAGCTGAGCAGGATGCTGTAGAGGACAGCCATTTATTAATGAGCTACAATGAGGCTTGGATCGAGCGGACGTATCTGTTCAATCTCGTAGTTGTGAGAAACAAACTGAGTTCATATCATGTCCAAGTTGATTAATCAAATTACTTATTGGGCTAATAGCGAATGCGTTATATTCATCACGATATTTCTCATCTATTGCACATTTTGCATAAATTGTCACAGAGCCTTTATGATACGTTTTCACCAAATAGTCCGTTGCAGAATTCACCACAATCTACAGCTTCAAGTTGCATTAACTCTTCGCTTTCTCAGGTATGATATGTAAAATTTATTGTATACCACCCCGTATGACGCTAACAATAAAGATAGTGTATACAAAAAAGTCAATTTCTGAATTAATTTCATTTGTTTTAAGTCACATCCGGTTTTTATCTTAATGAATGCAAAGTTAAATATGAAAGATCACCAAACTCTAACCGGTGATTGTTGTTGTGATGCTACAGGCACCGCTGGCTTCGGCGCGGCACCCGAAGTAATGCCAGGCAGTAGGAAACGAGGCGACGTATTGTTGGCGCCCCCGACGGAATTGCTCCCCTGAAATTGAATAGCGCATTAAAAACATATCGACAAAACTAAAGCAGGTAAGATGCCCGAGATAAAATTTGAAAGGATTTGCAGCAACTCACGACGCAGCAATCGGACTCATTTTGTGAAATTCGTAATGTTGTCAACACGTGTAATTGGAAAGCCCAATTATGCAATAAGGTGAGTTTCGTTTTTTTTTTTTTGTCAAGAAAATCCTACATCATGAGCTGAGTTAAGAAGCAATTCTGAATTCTTCTCACCATATTAGCTGATACGACAACGGTGGTCCCAGAGGCGTTGGCAGACGTTGGGACGAAGACGTACTGGGCTCCGGCAGAAGCCTAGGAAGAATAATTCAGCGATAAACAGCATGCTGGGAAATACCAAATGTTGTCAAGATAAACGGCTCCGCTACACAAACCAGCACGCAATGAAACTTTATTGTTGTGAAGAACGCAGCGGAGGGAAGTTTCGAGGAAATAAATACAACATCAAGTCGTGAACAAAAAGGAAAAAGAATTCAAGTATTGAATAGTTTGATGTTCTGGCTTCACTAAAAATCAAATAATTAACGGGACCAATACACCATTACTTATATAAAAAAATCTTACTCATATTACAAAGATTATTACCATCATAATTAGGAGTGGAAAATAAAGTAGCTCACCGGCATAGTAACGAAGGCGCTGCCTACCGAAGTCGAGGCTTTGACAACCTGGGTAGTCTTGGTCACCGAATTAGCCAGGGCCGGGGCACGAGCTGGGGGAGTAAATTAAATAAGAAACGGTGTCAAAAATATCATGGAAACAATCCAACATTTACAATAACTTTCTTGTGTACAGGGGAAATTCGCAGAAACTACAAATGACATTTAACTGGAATCATTGAACATCCTATTATTTCTTTCGCCTCGAACTGTATCAGAACTCGTGCCCTGCTGAATATGAATTATTGCTACAAAAAATGCTTTGGATTTGTCTCGTGACGAAATTTATTTTCAAACCAGATTTTGATGGAGAGCTGTGTAGTATTTTGATTGATTGTAGTATTAGTATTGAACAGAACCACGTGACGAAACCATCAGAGTTTAGAGGAAAGACTGGCTGATGTTCACTGAGCCGCCAGCGCAGTGATTTAGTAGGCTGAAGTTCGTGCTCCAATCGAAAAGTAACAATAAGCCACTGGGATGTTACTACATTGAGTAGGACACTGGCAACTTCTATTCCAAACCATTCTCGACTTAAAAATACATTAATTTCAGTTAGTTCATATTCAGTTCAATTTGGATGCAATAAGTTCTACAGACATCAATACAAATCATTTCATGTCGAAATCGATCCACGAATTTGTTCAAATTTCCCTCTTCTTCGAAGTGGTCGACTTCGAAGCACTACAATTAAATACAATTGTAACATATTTTTACCTCTTTGATCAAGCACCGCGATATTTCCAAAGCAATAAGTCAAGCTTGTTTTGCTGGTGAGGTTTTAAATTGATTGGTCGAGGAAAGCCTGAACCTTGGTTCAGTAAAACGAAACCAGGGTAAAGCAAAGGAAAGCGCAGCCGTGCACCACCAATTCTGTGCACTTATCAGCCCTGAATGGCACGCCTAGAATGTTTCCGCAAGACAGCCAATAAACCGCAGTTAGGCCTGCAGTCAGTAACCAGCCCTTGATATCATCTAGATTGTAGTATTATAAGCTTTACGCCACAATATTCTGAAGCGAATAACCTAGAGTGTAATGATCGTCCACGACTGAACGTCGCATCGAAACATCAGTTCGTCCCCTGGCTATAGCTCGATTATGGGATCGTGAACACAATCAATCAATCAATCAATCAATCCGTGTCAGAAACGAACTTGACGCTGAATAAAATTTTAGGAAATTTCTCAATCGCCGTCACCGCAACGACTGAGGCAGGCAAAAGTATTAGGCTCTACGCCAGGTTAGGACTTGGGCTCTGGTCGAAGAACCTCCATGTAACCTACCATCTTAGGTGACAGCATGGAGTCGCAACAAATGCATGAGCAGTTCGAAGCCTTCAGTGTAATAAAGAACCATGGCTCAAATTAAGTTAGTTTAGTGGCCACATGTTTACTCTCGCTTCAGCTATTTAGCTATCTCGCACGGAAAGTCAAGATGAACATCACCAAAAAGGTGGAAGGTCTCGGTCATCGAAAGTTTCTCAAATCAAAAATCATTCTTCACCCACAAGGGGCGGAAGGTCTCAATTGTCCAGCCCGGTGAAGCTGCCGCTAAAGAAGCAGCGTTAGCATCTCAGAGAGACGAAGTGACAAGGAGGGACAGATGAAAAACAACAGAAACGAAGACACTCGAACAAGAGGTCGCTTACACGGGACGTCGGCCTCCCGCACGAGAGACAGAGAATGGAAATGTAAAGAATTCTACCTACTTAATAACTTGACCCAACAACTGAAGCCCGCAGTCAGACACCGCGAGCTCAGCGGTGGGGCGCTCAGGAACAATCGCCATATGACTTCTGACGAGCACAGACACGCGTCAGAAGTCCCCACTGAGGGGATGGCTCAAATTAAACGATAGGAGTCTTCTATCAATTAATGACGAGGAGGATATAACCGGAGACTAGGAATGAGGTCTCGCCCGAGAGAAAAGGTGGTCCGCAAGTAATCAGATGATGAAAAGCGACGAAACCTCTGCATAAGCGAATTTTTTGCGACAGAAGAAAAGAAGCCGACCAGTTGTGAAGATACTTCAGTTCCAACGAACCTAATGGTTGGTCGTTTTCATACACAACTGTTTTTCGGGAGCCGAGGAGGGAAAGAAGAAAACACAGAAACGGAGACGAGATTTTGAAGACGTGATCATGAGATCGATTATTCGGATTTGCCCTGAATGGGAATTTCCCAGAGGAAAGGCTTCAACGACCATGGTTGGAGATCTTTCATCTTCGCATTCGTAGGTTATAGCTAATTGGTAGGGTGCTATTAAATGGGAAGTCTGAGTCGTGACACATGTATAACCTTCTGCATCGGCTCGGACACCAGTTGCAGGGTGAACGTGGCGCTTTAGTAAGAAGTAAGAACTCAATAGGAAATATGTAACCGTGTGGAGGAAGGATGTAGGAATTTTCAAGGACCATCAAGGAGGAAGGATGCTCTGGGAATTTTCAAGGACCATTACTACCTCCTATATGGTCGCGGCCAATATCGCAGTCGTGAGCGTAGAAAAACGGACAGACTGGACGTAGCACCGATACGCCTTTTTTGCCGGGTTAAAGAAGGTCAGGGTGAACAGGTGTAGCTAGAGCAACAAGTGCATCGCTATTTGGACCAGTCTCGGCTCATTTCTCCATTTTACATACCTTGGGAGAGAATACACCGCTGCTACGCTAGTGGCTTAATCGAGTAAACGAGTTTAGTCTTGCTAAAGTTACCATCGTTGAGGCTCAACTATAGTCAAGAGTTGAAATAGTAATTTCCCTACAAAATTTAGAAGCATGAGCGACTCTGCATTATGGCCGCCTAAGACTCGGGCAGCACGTAAATCAGCTTCTCTATGTCCGTTTCGGCTCAGGGTTCGATAGGCAGCCTCTGGGCAGCTTGCTAGCTCGGTATGACTCGGCTCGGCCAACCCTTGTCATACTCTCGGGCATCTTCAAAGTCTGAAAGATTCCAAACAACAATCCCTATCAAAAAGTTTAGTTGGTGGCGAGCCTGAATTAGGGACCGCCTAGGACTCGGACCGAACGTAAATCAGCTTCTCTATGTCCGCTTTTTGGTCTACATTCCGGTCCCCGAATCAGACAGCTACCAGAGCCTGGTGAGGGGACTGAGGGAATTCTGCCAACTCTTGCCCTACTCTCAGGAGACCATAAAGTCGGCAAGGAGGTTCTGACTAGTCGCTGATTGCGATCAGTTGGCCAACTGACCCAGAATAACTTTGCGCCGAGTGTAGTGACCATTCGGCCGAAGCCTAGGCGGTCCCCGAATTTTGTTATAGGGAACTGATTTCGATCGGGTTGCGAAGCAGACCCAGAATAACTGTGCCGAGTATAGAGACTATTCGGCCAGAACCTAGGCGATTCCCGAATTTCGTCAGGATATTTTTGCAAATATTTAATTAATTTCAGCAACAAAACTAATGATTATCACTTAAATTTACTTGTAACTTGATTAGATAAGTATGAAATCACTAGTTATGCCCCAGAAGGCGCTAGAAGGAAAAGTTTGAGAAATTAACACTGGGCTAGACTGTGAGGCTAGAGCTAAGAGAATGTCGCAGAAGCTCTGTTTGGACAAGTTGGGGGATAGATGATGGTTGCCGATATCGCGATATATAGTACATTTTACGTAGCGACCGACATTTTGGAAGTCGACTGCAACTGCAGCGAAGCTGCATGTTGGCGCCTAGTCGAAGCGCAGAGCCAACGAAAATTATTGTTAGGAGGCAAGTTGTGAAAGCTTAGCGGTGGATAACCAACAAAGCGGGTTATTGTTCAGGTAGGATCTAGATGTGCGTGACGACGATGGAAGTGCACGACTTTTTAAATCGATGTCGGTAGTTCGAGCATGGGGAGGCATAGCGAGGAAAATATTTATATCGGATGGAGGTGTCGGTTCGTAATGCGCAGGCCAAGACGCAAAGGCTGCAAGACAGCTAGCAGAGATCTCAAGAGTCGGGATGTCATCCATCCTGAAATTTTAACGGCAAACTGACTCGCGTGACTTGGAGGGTTAGCTGAAGAGACCGCACACGCTACAATTCAATTCAGGAATTCAGGCCGACACAATATAAAACATTTCAATTTCAAAACGGACCTCGCCTCTATAAATCGACACTTGAATGTTATCGATCCGATCCCAAAAATTACCGCAATCGAAAAGTATATTGACATTGACAAAGGGGTCCGTAATAATTCTCAACTTTTCATTAATAACATTTTTTATGTTTGACGCATTTCTGCATAACCAGATGATCACGAAACCTACTTCGTATTACGGCAGCTGCATACATTGGCGGAATCAGCCTCGCTTTTGGTAGACGTCTCTCGAGTGAGATGTTAGAGTCGAGACTAAGCAGAACTGTGATTATGAGACCACGTTATTTTTGTCAAACATGACAACGAAATCTTATTGACACCGGCCGGGTTCACACCATACTGCCGTGCACTTGCCAGGGATATGTCAGTCACGGTCCAGTCCAATATTCTTTAATGCATTTCTATAGCATTCACACCAGCCGTGCAAGGTACCTGCCGTGCCTATATGGTGCGAATGCTTCTATGGTAATACCTACATTAAAGAATATTGAACTGGGCCGTCGCTAGCAAGTGCCCGGCATTATGGTGCAAACCCGGCCTAAAGGTTTCAGCCGATATGGTGCGAACGGGGAAAGTTTCAGCCGATATAATTGGCGGCAAATACTTTCTCGTTCTAATTTTACCGGTTGAAAGCTTATAAAACAGGAAAGTAGTAGCTATACGATATTTTTCATCTGCAAGCGCCAGTTCGTCGTAAGAAGCCGTCGAGTAAAGTCTGCGCTCAGTGGAATAATATGGAACGTTATAGTAATGGCGAGTTTGAGGAGGCAATTTATAAAGCCGATGGTCAAATTGTAATTAATACAGCTGAGGAGACAAAAAAACTTCGTCGCTAAACGATGAGTGTAGGTGAGTGACTGGGTAGGATAAAGAGGTAACTTGGGGCATCATCGACTTTGTTCCGTGAATCTTCGACAAAGGCTGATGTGCAATTTCGCAAAAATTTCCTGTGTATAAGCAGCACCTTAACTGAATCTTTGTTTAATTTCCAACAGGATTACAATTAATGATTAAATGGGTAAGTTGAATTCCTAACACAACTTTACACAATATTTGTTTATATAATTTAGGTTGGAATATATTTAATTAAACAAAAGGTGCGAGGTAGGAAATAACCCTGCAGGCGACTGAGCGAGCAAGCATCAACCAATCAGGAGGTTCTCTGGCATGATGGTGAGTTACTACTTTATTTAGTAACCGTCTCGTCCCTCACAGCTCTTTCGTGCTATTTTTCCTGCATTACTATTTTATTCTGAAGAACCCTGCGTCGAGCTGAGTTATTGCATGCATGGTAGATTTCACACTTGAATTAATAAGAAAATACAATATTCATTTAATCATGAAGGTCTCGATTAATCAATGAACTATCAAACCAAAGAGATTACTCAAACACAATACATTTATGTAATCATCAACGCCGGAAAATTTTGTCTTTTCCATCTTTCAGCAGCAGAGTATATAAAAATTATATGCTAAACTAAGTAATATAATTTTGTTTGTAATCCTAAATCTTACTTTCTTCTTCGTCAGTGAGGTCAATGACGGCACTGCCTTTACTGCCTGCGCTGGTCACGGATGTGCCCAGAGACCGCCGCTCGCTAGGGGCGCCGGGGATGTAAGGGCCCAACCGCACGCCACTCATCGACGTGCGCATCACCGCTCCCTGATTCGCTCCTGTTGACGTCATGCAGGTAAGTACACACCGATACATCGCAATCAAGATTATCTTTTACGAATCAACACCTATGCTGATATGCCACATACAAGGCATATATGAAAATAATTTTCAAAAAGTCTTCATAAGGGAGGATACATGTCAAAATAATATAATCTTATGATGCTCATATGCGATTGTTATTCTCATACAAATAGCAATTTCTCAACTTCCAAGATAACAAGATGAGTCTTATTAAAATTAATCTAAGTGCGTAATTAAAAAATTTTACACTAAACGAAATCGTTTACAAGAAACTGAATTCTAGCCTTAACTCCTGATGAACGTGTTTTTCAAGGAAATTAGTTTTAGAAATTCTGATATTGACTAAAAAACCTATTAATTAGTTTTTCTTAATGGTTCTAGCTAATGATAGAATCATTTTCGCAGGAGTGAAGTAGAAGGAGAGTAGTAATTTCTGTAACTCCAGGAGAGTGAAGTTTCAATGCAAATATCACAGTGATAATAAATCGGATGATGCATCACCTGCATTAGCGCTCGCCGTCATCGCGGACTGCAGAGATGAGTGACCGTTACTCTGAAGAAGAGTATTAAAGTTAGTCATCAATAATTACGAGGATGTAAATCAACTACATGAAATCATCGGAATATGATTTTAGTCTATGATGAAGTTTCACAGTAGCAAGCTCTAAACAAACTTAGGTCTGAATTTCAATCAATTAAAAGTTAAATTAAAGCAACCAAGTACACAAGTCAAAAGTCCAATTTATTGTGACTTCTCAGAAAATTTATTAAGGCTCTGATTGAGAACCGCGAGCCCTCAGGCAGGCTCGGCTGGATTCCTACGAGATTCTATCACAAAGTATAGTCATTATATCTCCGCTCGTAAATGAAATATCAAATTGAATTTTTTCATGCTTATTTATCAGTTTAATTACATCTTTCTCTACAGTAACAAAAATATGTAAATTTTAAATAGCATCAGTTACGATAGAGGGAAAGGTTGTACATCGATGTTCATTATGCTATGCGACTTCCCTAAATTGGGGAGACATAAGGAAGTAGTACTATTCATACTCAAATGTTCGGTATTGAAGACATATCTGAATCAACCTCTATTTTGTAGATATTTTCTAACAAAAGACTTTTTTCGTTCCTGCTAAATCGGAGAATTCACATTTTCTTTGGAAGCTGCAGTTCTGATGGAGGATTCACGTCGTAAATAACCCTCCGTTCACTCTTGTGGTGAAGGGGAGCACAATGAGGAGCGGGTAATAATAGATGGCCAGTGGTCGTCCGAGGCCAATTAGTTTTAGCCGACCACAGGCCATTCGTCGGCCGCCTGAAAGTCGGCCGTAGAACCAAGATGGGTACTGGCTCAGGTATCATAATGCGCTAATGCGCTTGCTTCTTCAGACCATTGTTTTGCAGTAGATACTCGTGTGTGCTCGAAAGTAGCTGCTCATATTACAAAGGCAACAAGCTCGAATGTAGCAACTTGCCGATCTGAACACAGAACAAGGGTTCCGCATCCTTGTCACGAGTCCTTCGCCCTCGAACTTCGCCGCACTATGACTGTGAAGTCAGAGTGCGGCGAAGTCTGAGAGCGAAGTATTTGATACCATCCTGTGAAATCCTTGATATGCCCTAAGCTCGGCTAGTTGATACCCTCGGGCTTTGTAGTCTTTGAAATTAATTTTAGCCAGCCATTTTTGCGATAATGGGCGGCATTCAGGTGGCCAAGGAATGGCAAGCGGTCGGCAATAACTAATTGGACTAGGACGACCACTTGCAACGTATTATTCCTCGCCCCCTCATTGAGTTCGCCTTCACCGTGCCGCCCGTCGTGCACTGACAGTTCAGTAATTTACGACGTCTCTTTCCACTCATACCTTCCACAAAACCTCCATCGAATCAGTTAATATACGGACTTTTCCCACCACGTATCAGCAGGCTTGTTAGTAACTAGTTTTTGGTAGATAATATCTACACCAAAGAAGCTGACAAAGAAATGCTGAGTATACGATTCATTGGAAAATAAAAAATTACAACTCGTTGACATCTCGGAAAAAGTGTAAAAATCGCAGACTTGATCAACATTAATATTTAAAGCTTCTTGAAATTACCTTCATATAACTCTTTTAATACAAAATTTACATATTATTTGTTACTGTCCACCGTTTGCAAGCAAATAGCTGAACAAGCATGGAAAAATTTATATCGCCATCTCATTTACGAGTGGAGTAAAGTCTAGCCTGACTTGTGAAGAAACTCATAGGCAAGAGCAGAGCCTGTTCGAAGCCTCGCGATTCTGAATCAGGGCCTATAATTTCAAAAAAAGTTAAGAGATCGTAAGTTCATCAACCAATCATAGACGGCATTTCAAGCAAAATCCACCAATCACAGACAAGAAAATAGAGCGTAAGTACTTACGTTCACTTAGCGAGGTTTGCAAGTATGGCCCAAGAGCTTTATATTCAACCAAGGACTTCAACATATATGCAATTATGTACATTTTGGGTATCAAACTTGAGCGTGTTATGCCATTCCCCAATCTCCTCCCACTAGGAAAAATCACTAAATGAACCAAGACTTATATTGAGATTTATAAAAAAAATTCTATTGGTAATGGCAATAATATGCTTTAAAAAATTTCAAGACCACACTTCAAAAGAGGCCGGTGTCTCTAATGTTACAAATGTACAATGAATTTCCTACATTATTATAAAATATTAAAAAAAATCTTTCAATTTAAAAAAATTATACTCTGTCAATCGATTCATGTATTGTCTCCAACTTCACGCAAGTGTGCAAAATTTCAGATCGATTGGACAAGTCTGTTAAATATTGATTATAAGATTTGTAGCAGACAGACAAACAAACAAACAAGAAGTGGCGTTACAGAGAAGTGTGGTAAAAAAATATTGTACAGACCTGACTGAGCATCGAGCCTCCTGCAGACATCCGCGGGCCACTTTTGCCCCAATCGCCACAGGCGGCGGCGATGCCCTTCTGTATCTGAAACGCGGTTATAGAGCTCGGGTCATCAAATTTGTAAGTGGATTTGTATTTTGTAAGGTATGTTAATATTAAAGTGGATCGGTCCAACCTTTCAAAAAAAATCATTACGGTGGAGAAATTCATGTCCTGGCATTCAACTGCGAAGTACGTCAAAATTTTTAGGATAAAAAAAAATTCTGAACAAATCTTCCAACATATTAGAATCAAAAGTTTCATTGCAAAAATTTTTTTGACGATTCTTACAAGAGATCAACTTACAATGTGTGGTGCAGCCTGAATGCCAACAGATCGTTTAATTTTGATGGGCGTGACCAGAAATTCCTTGCGAGCATTATGCTCTTCTTGTAATTTTTTGGTGACTTTACGCAGGTCCTCCAGCTGAAATAGAATCGTTGGAATGCTCACACCCAATAGTCTTTGCAAGATGTCTTATGTATTTGTCGAGTCATCATATGGATGGCTAAAAACAGTGCACAATACTTGAAAAAAATTCAACGCCTAACACGTATTTATAATTTTATTTACATGCATACATTTCTATGCAACTTCAAGAGTGCTTCACAAAATGCAGGTTACTCGCAATTTGAAACTTATTATCATAAGTAAATATAGTATGCTGCGTTTTATTGTTCAATTAGATACATAACATGACATTTCCTACATATATGAAGAAAATGGGGAAACCAAACTTACCTCCTTATGAAACTGAGCTGTCTTCTTGCGGTTGGCTTCCAGGGTAAACTCCAGCTTCTCGCAGAGGCTCTTGTATTTACCAATTTCATGGCTGTGTAGAATTTTATTCATAAACAAATCTACTATCATGTTCTCTAAATCCTGCAAAAGAGAGTAGAAATTGTTTTTAAAATGGATCTAAAAGGCAGGTATTGTTCACCAGGAATGTAAAAAGATATTCTTGGCATCTACACACCAGAAGTGCAAATTGCTTTTGAAAGAATATGGCAGCACCCACCCTAATCTAAATTTAAAAATCCATGGTTTAATTAAATAAAAGCATACATGCAATAATTTTTTTCAGTCTTTACTCATAACAAGTATAGTGGGCATTCAATGATGAATTTTTTCTTACATAAACATTCCATTGAAATTTAGTTAGATCAACAAGGTCAAAAATAAATGAAAAAATCACATATATTGCTGAAAATATGTATTACAGGTAAGTAAAACGGAAATTGTAGGCCAAAACAAAAGCCAAAGGATAGTCTAAATTCAAAGCTTTTACAGAAATGAATGAACAATTCTGCAAGAGTTAAACACAGCTGCATGCATTTTAAGGAAAAAATTTTTTCATTGTTAGAATGGCTAAGAGCTAAGAGGAAGTGTAAATATTACAAAAGATGTAGGGAATTATCAGTCAGGTTACGAGATAAACCCATTTTAACAAGATACTTGCCTTCCTCTTGAGCTTCCGTAGTTTAGAAGTGGCCATTTTTAATTTCTCAACTTCTTTATTTACCATAGCTTCATCTTCTTTCTTGTGTGCATCCAGTGTCTGCAAATCACAGACTAAATCATAAGATCTAGCAGATTAAATTTTGGGTTCATCATATATTCAGAATTATATACATGCTAAGTTTTTTTCATATGGGAAAACTTATGCAACAAAAATTTCTAGAAAGCTACTATATATGCAATTTTTGCAAGGTTACCTCAACATTAGGAGATAGTCGTCGTTTCTTGACGAGTCCCTCATCTTCCGAAGACAGCACTCTTTTCGGAGTTTTCTTTCCAGACCTGGTGCTATCTAACATGTCACAAGTTCCTTCTCCAACATCCAGTAGCACATCCAAGTTGTTAGAAGTTGCAGCAGAATTAGATGTGGAAACTCCACTAGGCTTCAATGGTGAAAGTTCTGTGATGTCTGTAGATTCTGGAAGATCTGGAAGATCAGCAAGAACTACCGGTGTAGCTACTGTGAAAGGTAAATTAGTGAGCAATAAAGAATCTTCGGTTACTGAATCTTTCTCGACACAAGCAAGTTCTTCCATGTGATCAGAAGTGGACTGCAAGCTAGAACTTTTCAGCAAATTATTGGGTGCAGACAAATGAGGAAGGTCTTTAGCTTTCTCTATAGGAGAAACAGTATCAGCAGTCAATTGAGTAGCATTGGGGATATTACACAAGGCAGCTGGACTTGCAGGTTTAGCTGGTCTTGAATCAGGAGGAATAGAGCCTATTAATGGATCCAGAGATAATTCTCCATTGGTCGATGCAGCTTCATTCTTTTTATCTTCAACATCCTTCACAGCTTTCACTAAAGGGCTTGCTGTTTTTGCTGCCATTGTCTTCGAACTAGTGATGCCATTTAAGCTGGATAAATTGAAATCCATTGTTTTAAGCACGGAAATTGAACTCTTTGACGAGTTTATAACTGGAGGTAGAGATGACTCAGAGTTCATGAATTCACTGACAACCCCAGCAGGGATGTGAATCATAGGACGAGTCTCAGAAATGATAGGCATATGAGCTGTTGCAACTTCTCCCTTCATAGTGTCTTGTAATGGAGGATTCTCAGTTGGTTGGTTTTTAGCTGCCAAGTTTTCTTCTGAATCAACTTGAGAAAACTGCCCTGAGCTTGAAGTTTTTGTTTGCTCTATTTCTTCAGTGTTGAGTTTGTTGCAGGAATGATCTGAACTTGATTTGTTATTGGATACTATTGATTTGTTATTGGATACTGCGTTTGTTATCCAGCCACTGGTTTCATCTTTTTCTTTCTGAAAGAGAAAGATATGTAGAATTTAAAGGTTAAAAAAATGCAATAAGAATATTACTAGTAGTAATGATTAACAATTCAATACTTCAGAAGAGCTGGGGTAACAAAGAACATCACTTTATTTTTAAATTACATCAAAACTATGAGAGGCAGGAGCCAGCAATTTATGGTGAGTGAAGCTAGAGTACAGACCTGTATTTTGCATGTTACAATTTAAGTTTAACTTATCTAGTAAAAAAATGGCATTTTGAAAAAAAAGTGATCAAAGTTACCCCATTTTACAGTATATATTGTGCTAAAAAATCAATTATATTTGAGATTAGGAAAGAAAACACCCATTTAAGTAACAATTTATTATATATGTTTCATACTGTGTATTTATATATTATGTATACTAACAATAGGCCTATAAGGTAAAAAATTATTATTCTTTTGAGGCATCTAACATGGCATCTCTCTGGCCCATCATACTTTCATTTTGGCTTTAATAATTAACCTGCATATTGCTTGATGTAAAATTAATCCTTGATACACATTTTATGCCAATCCACTGCTTTTATGTAGCTCCAGGGATTGTAAAGCAAATCAACATTGCATAGTGGAGCATATTTTTCCTGAACTGATGGTTTGTAAGGAAGTTTGTTCATAAGGTTGGGGTTCCACTGTACCTCCTTCACAAGTTCACAGTTCACACTGGTCTATAGTGATATTAGTGAGTTAGTCTAAATTTGAGGGACTTTTCTTTCAATGCATCATCCTGGAAGAAATAAGCTCCACAATAATGTTCATTGTACAGTAACTATTTTTTTGTAAACCCTATAAAAAAGGAACCTATAATAATATCATCACTTTTAGTATTGATATAATTTGCATACTGCAGTTTCTTAAAGGGGAATATAATAACCTAGTAAACCTACATTGATATAAAAATATTTTTTCCTCTTTATTTCACTTTTTTAAACTATCAAAATTATTTTTGATTATTAGCTTCATAAATCGTTCAACAAATAACAATAGTGAGATTTGATTTTACAAATGTTGCAATTTCAATAATGACAGAAAATGCATCTTAATATATAGAAAAAAACTAACAATATCATAAATTTTTCTTTGACTCTATAGGGCCAAGTGCCAACAATAACAATGCTAGAACTTGGTAACTTGTCAGACTCAGCCTGACCAGCCCACCACCATCAACATCATTCATAGGCAGACCATGGCAATTCCATATCAACCAAAAATTAATGCAAATATATTGAAAGAATACTTAACATGGGTACCGGTATAGGAATACCTTGAATACTCCATACCAGTAATACCACCACTGGCACCACACACATGCAAGTGGCACTTTCAAAGCAGGGATTTATTCAGACACCTCCCCAACTACATTTTTCAAGTGCTGTATGTAAATGTACTGGCATGGAATTGGAATATAACCTTTTGAGCCACAAATAGAGCTTTCATGTAATTTTTGGAGTTGTGAGATTCCTGCTAGATGTATTACTCTCAAATTGTTATTTAAAAAAAAAGTGCAATATTGGGCTGCAGGATCCTAAATGTCACTTTAGTGCTGCAAAATCTTATTTCTAAGTAGGAAAATTACATTCCTGTATAAGTAAACCACTAACCAGTAAAGTATCATGGATCATAAACGCATCATCATACCTAAGGGTAAGGTATTGGTTTAAATTGATTAGATTAACTGATACTAAAAACTGATTTGCCAAAAAAAAAACTGATGAACTGATACTAAAAAATCTGGTTTGCCATCATGCACAAACTTACTCTACTAAACAGTACTACAGACAGTCTACAGTGTACACCAGTGTTTCCCAAAGTGGGCAATATTGCCCCCCTGGGGGCAGTGGAAAGATCTGGGGGGGAGGGCAGTGAGGAAGAAAGGGGCAGTAGGGGGTCGGCAATCCGCGAAGTTGAAGTCAGAAGTTAATACGTTTATTTGACAATTTGTATTTTGTACACAACACATGCAGAACATGACCGATTCAAATAAGTTTTCACAAGCTAAAAATTGCCTTTTGGTAGTTAGGAATTTATATTCAAAATTTAGTTCAAATCTGTTTCAGTAATTTGGAAGGAACTCTTTGATCACTGCAAATTTTGGCCCGTATTGCCATATAACTCCCGAATGAAGGTGAAATTTAAAAATGTTTTCACAAGCTTAACATCACCGTTAGGTCCTAATGAATACGTGTTACAAGTTTTATCAAGCTGCTATTATTAGTTTGGGAGATATTCCTTGGTCACTGAATTTGTAGATTGGCTGTGAGACCAGCCACAAGTCCAGCTGTAAATTTGTCCAAGATTCCAAGCCATCTTGAATTTCTAGTGCTGAAGCCTGAAGCAGTTAAAACTGTAAAAAAATAAATTGGTTTACTAAATGGGGACATGGGGTTCTATTCGTGAAATACACATTTGTCACGTGAATGTGATTTGTGTTTAACCTTTATTGTATAAAATTGCAGCATACTAAATATCAAGAAAGGGGCGTTTGTTATTAGGTATATGTATCTGTCGGGGGGGGGGACGCTAGAGATTCACTGGGGAGCCAAAGGTAAAAGGGCGCCAGTGAAAAAGTTTGGGAACCACGGGTGTACACTGTACACATAAGTAATACGGCAAATTTGTCTGCTTTTATTTACAAATTTTATTATAGTCAGTGAATATGAGTACTAATTGTTTTATTGTTGAACTTACCTCTAAAGGTTCGAATAATGTGATGCCTACCTGGTCGGAATCAAAGTTTACGTTAGTACTCATGAAATTACGGCAGAATTTAAAACGTTATACTTATTAGGAAATTTAAAACATATTTAATTTCTTTTTGCAGAAAATCGGATTAATAGATAAAATTTGAACTTTAACATATCACAGAATTGTTCACCATAATTATATTTAAAACAAGAGGCCGACCTGTTAAAATTTTCAAGACAGTCAGTGACCATGAGAGCAGCACCGGACACCACCAACCTCGCTCTCCAAACGCGGGCCAACACTAAGCGGCGACACACTTATTCGATGCGGAAAACACTAGTTGGCAGCTGATGAACATGACAATACCAAGACTATTCAATTCATGCCATCAACATGCTGATCAAACAAACAAAATTTCATGTTCTATAAGTTACGTGAGCTGCCTGATGAGTAATATCTCATTTCGAATAATTATATAAGAGAAGGGCCTTTCATGAACATGTAATGTGCGATTCACTACACAAGATGAACAGCACCTAAGGCTTTCCACTTGATCAAAAAAATTTGTTTAGCTTATCTGCTTGGTTTCTTCCCGATTTACTGGTGAATATACCGTGATTTACATGGCTATCCAACGCATTAAGAACCAAATTCAACAACATTTTTACACTTGCTTCACATCCGTCATGTTCACTCATTTGGCAACAGCGTACACAATTCAAGATGGCTGACCAGTTGGTCCTCAAATCGTGGACCATCAAGAGGTATGTGCAAGTAGAAAGTGTCAATATGGTTCACTTGCATGTAATGTGTGAAAAATAAATAGTATTCTATTCCGTCGATAATATACCCATCTATTCATCGCACAGATTCAACCGAATTTTACTTGCTCAAAATCGGAGGTCCTAACTAGGCTCCTTGATGGTACCATACACACTTTCAGTTGGTGCACACGGGGCTCCGGTCCTGGCAGCATAAATTTTCAATCCAACTTAAACATGAGTTGATACCTCTATATTACTTAACTGTAATTGTATAATCCAAATCTTATGTGCAGCATCCAGCAGATGCAATAATGATTGCAATTCGCAGCAATGTTAAAATTCATCATTAGAATAAGGTTATCCTAATTATTCCTATGACATTGTGTAAACGTACTGATTCCAAGGCTTCGTTCAAAGCCAGGTTACAAGTAAGCAGTACAATTATGACACCACGTCCCTGTAACGATTAGCAGCTAACACTTGACGTTTTAAAACTTCCCTGCATATGCTTTATTGAGAAGCAATAACTATTGTAAAATAATTGCATTAAATTAATGTGCTACTATCTCTTATAGAAATAATTAATTTAACGATGGGGCGAGAAGAAGATATCTTGCCTGTAGTCGATTCTAGATCGCGAAATTTTACAGCTAGCTGAGGCTCAAACCAGCAACTATCGGATGCTGTTCTCACAGACGCCGCCACCTTGTTTCTGTACTTGCTTATCATGCCTTTTGGGATTAAGAATAGACCTGATTTCCATTCCCATTTCAATTTAAATTGTTTATAAAAACTATTTTATCAGTTTGAAAATTGAACTACACATCTAATTTTCGTATTGAAAAAATGCATGAGCTAAATTACTATCATGGTTTTCAGTTTCATGATGGTTTTCCATAATTTATGGATTTTCAGTGGCTTCCGCTAATATTAACACAACACGGGAGGCTAACTATGAGGTACTCGTATGATTCTTCAAAATAATTTAAAATTATAGTTTGCATAGTTTCAGGTCTGTCCAAACGTAAGGTTTATGTTTACTGTAGTTGAGGTATGCAGAAAAGGCCTAGAATTGTGTTTGAACAAAATAACAGGTCGCTACTTCGAAAATTTTCAAGGAATAAACGATACCTATACGAATTTATGGCAATTAATAGAGACTTGAGCTACAAGCTGGTTCAAGCAGAAGGAAGTGAGCGAGTGGTGGATTTAAAGGGGTGGGGTAAGGAAGAGGGAGAGAGTCGGCAAGTACGGCAAGCTGAGCGCGGTAGAGGAGCTAGATGGCGGCTGCGAGCCGGCTCCACGGTGTGCTCTTTATGGAAGTAACTTTAGTCCTAAAATATAACTACATAAAATATATTGCTTCAAAAATATCCAAACAATTGAACCTTTTATAGTTTGCTAACCGAATGAATAGATCACTAAGTTTTTCAATAGATCAGTCGGCATCTACATTCGTTCAACATTCTGGCGACATTAGGCACGAATAACGGCCATAACTACAGCAGCACTGTGAACTTGAGTTCACCTCGTCCACCGTCTGAGGCTGTAAAGAAGGGATTTTATTAGAATGTTCAAATTGTGAAGTCCTGTCAGTTTTCATGACTCATTTCAAGACGGGAGGGACCTAAAGTGACAATGAAATCACGACTGCATAACTTGTAGTTCGAATTGGTCTCAAGCTACACCACACCACTGTCCTGGTACCTTGCGAGCGCCATAAATTTGTACGACAAAGAGCTATGAGCCAAAAAATAGGACTATAAAAATCTATTTACTTATGACTTGGCGAACGAGGGTCAGCTGGAATATATTGAATGTACATCACAAACCCCATAGTCTCATAGATAGGAACATTACAAGATTTGGGTTACAATGTTATGTACCATGAACTTTTTTTGGAATCAAAGAGGAAAGTTGCCATTATAGGGTTAAAGTTAAAGACTTCTATAAGTAGTTCAGACTCAAAGTATAAGACGCGAGACGATTCGTGGAAATATGTACCTAGTGATGAATCTAACTGCACCTACTTATGACTGCAGCCAGCTGAACGTTACTGGTATTGATTGCTAGAGTTTGGATCGCCTAACAGTGAATCAAAATGATTAACGACATCGCCATCGTTTGGCATCGCCAAGTCTGCTGTCAAACCCAAAATTGTACACTTCTACCAGATATACTTTTTGTCAATAGTCTTCATTCCACAACCGCTTCCGACAGAAAAAAAGCTCCCATTATGGACTCCTGCGTTTGCGTTTGATACTTTTCTCATTCGAGACGAGACAACAGGGTTTGTCCTGGTTGTCCCCAAGAATCCCCACTCCACAATACCTAGACATCCCGGTTAAAATAGGAGTTTTTCGTCATTTCACGCTTCAGGTACATTACTTAGTAAAATGACATCGCTATAGGTATATACTATAGCCCATTTACAAAATTTGAAGGGTCAAGGGGAGTTTGAGAACGTAATCAATTGTTAGAAATATGCAGAGGATGGTATTATTACAGATTTTTACGTCATTTCGTTATCGATTGGTACGAAAAAAAAAATTACGTAACTGAACAGCTCATAAGTCCTTTAGTTCTGAACGGACTGCATGAAATTTATAACGTATCTAATGAGTAACCAGACTCTGCGGTAGGAATTGACGCAAATGTTCGCGTTGCTTCGTTTTTTATTTAACCTACGGTCTGTAATAATCGTCACTAATTACCAGGCTAGTGGCTTCGTGTACCGAGGTAGTAGGTACTGCCTGCTCAAGGATTAATAGCGAGTAGCGGCCAGTAGCTGCCCGTTGTGAGTCTACTTCCAGCCATGTTTTTACGAACCCTCTGCCAGGGAAACAATGATGCTTCGTTATTTAACAATCTTCGGTTTGAAGTGACCGAGAGGTCCAACGAACAAGTTCAAAGAGCATAATGTGGTACGTTCTCTGCTCGGTTGGGACTAATTACTCATCTGTGGTATTTTACAGGTGCTGATGGCATAAGAAACTTTATTCGATGCTTTTTGCTAGGGCATAAACTTAGGCTTTGGTTAACCGACACCAAACTTACTACGTATTCGTCTACTATTCTCATACAAGTCTCTCCAGCCTCGGAGCTAACCAGCGTAGGCACGAAGGAGTCTACGCATGCCCGGTATGTTAGCGGTTTATAATAATTGCGGTTTCAGCGTTTATTAGGCCATAGGCCTGTCGCCGATTCCTAACATCGCAGAACATCCACAGCTTGTTGCGGTCTCGAACTCACAACTAACTGATTCAAATTCTGCTCTGCTTAACCGCCCGGCCTCCTAGCCGTTTCTGACCAGAAACTGTCGCACAGAGCTGGGATCGAACCCGCACCTCTCTGCTCCAATCTTCGTACTCTGTGAACTGTAACCACTGGCCCACCCTGCCCATAAGTACATGAAGAAGAGTTTTTCTTGAATTCTGAATTATCTACTGTACCTTGATGAAAGAATGAAATAAATATGATATTCTAAGCATTCTTCACTATGCCAAGAGGTGTGAAATTGCTTGCGCTCGAGGTAATTATCTTTAACCCGTCATTCCTATTGATGTCCCCGTTGGCACTCGCAATTCAAACATTCCAGTTTCTAAGGGGAGTGAAAATTATTTAAACATAATTTTAGGTTCTAACTTGCTTAATTATTCAGCAGTCAGAATATTTGGTATTACTTTAGATTAAGTGCATCCAAAAAAGGGTGTTTTTTTGCTTAATTATATGTTTTTTGGGGTGTAGATAAAGAATCTGAAATCCGTTTTTGGCGGTCGACATCGGAAAACAGTTCAGAAACTGGCGCACAGAGCTGGGTTCGAACCTGCACCTCTCGGCGCCAATCTCGGTACTCTGGAACTGTAACCAATGGGCCACCCTGCCCGATGGCTACCAATGTTGCCATCATTGAACTTGTAAATATCGCCACAAAGTTTGCACCAAATATTGGTATTGTTAATCAATACCTCGGCCATCATGGTCTTCGCCTGTTCTTTGCTCCTCAAAATATTCCCAGTTACCCCTTCTGATTCGTGGCGTCTTGCAGGGCCTAAGGAAGACCTTCCACATGATGCCATTAGTAGGTGTACCGCTAAGTGATATGAACTCGTATGTTTTTCGTCATGCGCGATTAAAAGCTCAACAGCAACATCATTCACTAATTATTCAGCCATACATTGCCAAGTCTGCCAAACTAATTTAACTGCCAAATTAGTTTGGCAGTTGAATTTGGAGGTAATTTAAGTTAACAGACAGAACTAGAAAGCGACTGAGTAGTGCCTATCTAAAACGTTTAGGGTTATTTCCACAACGACATTCAGAGGTGTTCTCCAAGTTAAGCATTGAAGTTTATTCAAATAGTCGGAATAGTAATCACACAATGAAAGCTAAGAAATACAGCTAGCATGGATATAATGCGATGAATCAACAAGGCCTGCCCAGTCTCCAGACACTGCTTCGATCTGCGCTGTCTCAAGACGGAGTGAGAACTGAGAAGGTTACAATTTTCACAGCGGATACACGGC